GGATGAAGGATTTTAGTCACGGACTTTTGTGTTTTCTGACACTTGGTGAGTTCCCTGGAACACCGGGGACACATATTCATGTATAAAAGACGTACAAAAGTGCATTTTGCATGATAGGTCCCCTTTAAGTTATCAGAGCAACAAGCTGAGCTAGCTCGGTTAGCAGCGCCGAACTGCCTTGGAGAAACACATGAAACTACTTTATTCAGTGTTTTTACCTTAAATCACCGGGTTCGTTTGCTTTGGAGATTTGGTTGTGATTGGTGGTTTGCTGTGCACGCAGAGCCTGCATGTCACTCACTCTAGGCTAAATTAAATGCTCTTTGATACTATGGGCACTTGTAAATGTTGATAACTATGTAAATATAATGTATGATGTCCTTTATTGTTTTATGTTTCATGTGGAACCTATTTGCTGCAGGTTGAAAAAGAGATCTATGATCTCAATGGGACCAATCTGGTTAAATAAAGGTTTGAAATGAAATGACTCGAGTACCCCTGACATGAGAGCCGCGCAAGTTTTCCTTTTGTAGCAAGCAGCAAAAGAATTGTAACATGACATGTTTGAGTTAATTTGCCTATTTAATATCGCACGTCTTAAAAAAGAAAAATGCGGACGTGCGATGTGAATATCGCGATTATCGTCACGACACGATATATCGCGCAGCCCTAATCCAGTCCTTCATGAACTCTTATTTAATTGGTCTATTATTTAATTGGTGGGATGAGAGCCAAACATCACCTTGACCAAAAGAAAAATAAACAAAACGAGTGAAGAAGAAATGGCAGCTTCTCTTTCCTCATAAGATGGAAACGTTCCCCCTCCTCTCTTTTTCAAACAACCCCATAATGCCTTGAAGCAGACGGCGTCTACCTTTTTAGAGGGTCATAGACGCGGAGCGATGGCGAGACAGATGGTGTTGGGGGAGAAAGAGAAGGAGAAGTGACAGGTACTCATGTCCAAGGACGGGAGGAGATGACAGCGACCGGTTCACTTCACCCCTCTTTTCCTCTCTTTTCTCCTTCCTCACTTCTCGTGTGTGACAGTTAACCTGCAGACATGAATCTGATGATGATATCTTGTGACCACTGCCATGCTTAACTCACTACTTTGATACTTCTTGCCCCGGATGGTATGTCAAGCTTTATGCTGACCAACCTGGAGAGGCCTCTGCTCTGTGCCTTTAAATTGTACAGACAGGGGAGAAGGCAGAATGGGTTAGTCGCATAGGAGGCAAACCTAAACAGTAATGACACCACATTATACCATTATTATTTGTTCTGATTGTCTTAGAACATTTGGATGTTTCTGGGATTTTATTTTGAGTTGCATCTAGCTACTTCATATTGTCAGATTATGGAAGCTTGATGCAGGATTGACAGTACCACATACCGTCACATGGTGGTTTATTTGAACCAGATTGAATCCATTTTCATCAAAAAGGTCCCCCTTTCTCCTCACTGTCATAAATGAGTCAAGACCACAAATGCGTTCTTTAAAAAAATGTAAATCCCGTACAACCACGGTAGTTTCTCTTTATTTATTTCTAAACAATGGGGACCAGTGGAAAATAAAGATATTTATTTAGCCTGGCAAAAAAATATCCTGGCACGTAACTCTGAAAACCGGTGGTTCTACTTTTAGTTGATTTGAAAAAAGGAAGAATGAGTCTTCAAGGTCCAATAGTGAGTTTAGTGTGTTTTATCAGATTAAATAATGTTGATCATTGAACTATAGATAGATTATCTTTATGCTAAGCACATACTACTAGGGCTGCACGATATATCGTGTCGTGACGATAATCGCGATATGCGCATGCGCGATATTCACATAGCAGGACTTTTTTTTTTTTAAGTAGGCAAATTAACTCAAACACGTCATGTTACAATTATTTTGCTGCTTGCTACAAAAGGAAAACTTGCGCGGCTCTCATGTCAGGGGTACTTGAGTCATTTCATTTCAAACCTTTATTTAACCAGATTGGTCCCATTAAGATCATAGATCTCTTTTTCAAGGGAGACCTGCAGCAAATAGGTTCCACATGAAACATAAAACAATAAAGGACATCATACATTATATTTACAGGTTACATTTACATAGTTATCGACATTTACAAGTGCCCATAGTATCAAAGAGCATTTCATTTAGCCTAGAGTGAGTGACATGCAGGCTCTGCGTGCACAGCAAACCACCAATCACAATCAAATCTCCAAAGCAAACGAACCCGGTGATTTAAGGTAAAAACACTGAATAAAGTAGTTTCATGTGTTTTCTCCAGGCAGTTCGGCGCTGCTAACCGAGCTAGCTCAGCTTGTTGCTCTGATAACTTAAAGGGGACCTATCATGCAAAATGCACTTTTGTACGTCTTTTATACATGAATATGTGTCCCCGGTGTTCCAGGGAACTCACCAAGTGTCAGAAAACACAACCCTCTCTATTTTCCTCCATACCCAAATCTCTAAAAAAAGGGGCTGCAACGGATCTGATAAAAACTGATCCAGATTTGAACACTTTCCTGACGTCAGGAAGGTGGCGCTACGGCTATTGGGCCAACTCCACCAATCAGGAGGAGACAACCACGGCATTGCCGTTCGAAAGCGCTGTAGTACATATGCCAGGCCTGTAGATGGTGCTGTTCTCACAGAATCAACCCATGCAAAAACAGAGCTATAAATTGTCAAATTGAGCGAAATGAGGCATGGCTAAAATGCATGATCTGTTTGGTATTTTGAAAAAAAAAAAGTATAAATATGCCTTATATAGGTATGGTCCTACACTATATTATTCAAATATAGCATGATAGGTCCACTTTAAGATCCAGAAGTCCGTGACTAAAATCCTTCATCCGGTTAAATATCGTTAGAAAAATACCAATTGTATAGCATTAAAGTTCAAGAAAGGATGGTTTGCGGAAAAAAAAACTGTCTTTTCTTCAATTCCTGTATTTTTTCATATCGCAGGGGGGAAAAAATCGCAATGCCAGTTTTTTCCATTATCGTGCAGCCCTACATACTACTATCACTAGTACTATCACTAGTAGTATGTGTGTAAAAAGGGAACAACTTACCATCCCATCTGATTTTCTTTTTCTTCTAGTAGACTGACTTATTACTGCTTATCTAACACGTGCAGTGACTTTACCGTAAGCCTGTACACCGGGGAGTGAGCGCTGAGCAAACGCAGCCTGTGGATTAAAGGGTTAAAAGCTCTTGTTCACAGCCTTGACTTGACATAAAAAACACACAAACATGCTTGTTGTACAACAGAAAAGTGCTGATGATCATGAAAGCCGGAAAGCGAAAAAGCAGTCGAGAGTATGCATTTATACCTCCAGCTCTCCATTCACTTGTTTTCCGTCTGTCTGGCTCACCGTGAAATTGATTATGGATTATTCAGGAGGCAAACAGGAACTCCGTCTCTTCTTTCATAAAAAAGCCTGTATGAAAGCGATTAGGGGGTAAGAATGGACTGGTGGACAGCAGAGAGGATGGATCCTCCATTGAGAAGAAAGAGGAAGATCGTTGACTTTTTCTTGAAAGCAGGGTAGATGGATAGTGAGAGGGGCGGATGAATGAGTGATATGGACCGAGGGAAAGGCTGCATGGATGGATGGAGTGCTTCAGGTAGCCTTACCTGGGATAAGGCAGCCCGGACGCAGGTTTAATGGCATATAAAAGCCTGGGACCCATCTTTTATTCAGCCAAAGAGAGACTTCCAGGTGAACACATGCGTCCCAAGAGGCTGCAGAAACACAGAGCCGTGTATATATTTGTGTGTGTATGCGTTTCAGAACCTGAGTGGAGAGTTAATACACACAGCATCTTGAGGTGTGTCAACTCCAGGAAGCACTTTAGTGTAGTTTGCTGAAGTCCGCATGGGAACAAGGTGTATTGGTACTCAATGCGTTCATATATAGCATGTATATGCAGCTCAAACTGCATAGCAACAAACACTGAGAATGAACACACACACTGGGACTCGTATAAACCCTTCATTCCAGGTCCAAGTCCTTTATTGGGCACGCTCCCGGACATATGCAAAGTGCTGCAGTGCCTCCTCCACACGTGCACACACTGACACTGGCGGGTGTTTTGAGAGTGCACGTGAGGCTGTTCCATATGCATGGGGCTGTTTGGGCCTCCTTCCCTGGGGCAGGACCTCAGGGCTCTGCTGGAGAGCGGGGCGATGGAGCAAGAGTCCACTTCAGGCCCAGTGCGTGTTTATGTACACATCCTTCAGTTCAAGGTGGAGCGGCAGGCAGCCATTAGCATTTTGTCGATGGAGGAAGTGTTTGTGTGTTGGAGCCTGCTGGTTTCACTGAGAGAAAGTGTGTGCCAGCTTTGAACTAAAACCCTTTTTCTTTTAAAACATCCCCAGGCCTGGAGGTTGTTTTAATTTAAATCACATTTTACAGATACACAAAGACAAATGTTTGCTCTTCTCAAACTGTTGTTTTTGCATATAAAAGACATTAATCTCATACTTACATTTTGACTATTGATTCAAATGTTCATAATGACATCTGTCACCACAAATACTTATTCAACTTTCATTCTCATGGGCATAGATTTCACTTTGAATTCTAGAGGGAAAATCCTGGCATTTTCAGACTTAAAAATAAGTCTTAGTAAGGGGAAAAAGTTTAAATGTAAGTTTTAAATTGATTTAAACTCAAAGGGTATAACACAGACTTCTGCCAGGGCTGTGTCCTTAAGTTAAAAATGATGTGTGAATCCTTCCTGTGATTTGCGTCCACTCGGGGTTATTCCTTGGATAATGCTATACCACCAATGTTCATGAAACTGTGTTCCTTAATCCTGCTGAACTGAACTTAAAACAAACCTCTTGGCGGAGGTTCAAAATAACTTTCCTTTCATCCCTATGTCATTTTCTTTTCGTCTTGTTTTGGCAGTTTGTAGAATCTTCATTAATATTCTTAAGTTCCTCTGTCACTATTCAAAAAAAGTTAATAATAATGACTTTCTGTGTGTGTTTTAGGAGTGGTTGAGTTGTTGAAGAGCATGCATGATCTTAAGATCGAACCTGATAGCGAGACTCTAACCCACTACGTCTACCCCGCCTTCGCCGACGTTGAAGCAGCTCGAGAGGCCCTCAAGGTAGTGTGTGTGTGTGTGTGTGTATCACATTGTGTGTGTGTATCATTGTCGTGTGTGTGTGTGTGTATCATTGTGTGTGTGTGTGTGTGTGTGTATCATTGTGTGTGTGTATATCATTGTGTGTGTGTGTGTGTGTGTGTGTATCATTGTGTGTGTGTATATCATTGTGTGTGTGTGTGTGTGTGTGTATCATTGTGTGTGTGTGTGTGTGTATCATTGTGTGTGTGTGTGTGTGTGTGTGTGTGTGTGTGTGTGTGTGTGTGTGTGTGTGTGTATCATTGTGTGTGTGTGTGTGTGTATCATTGTGTGTGTGGGTGTGTGTATCATTGTGTGTGTGTGTGTGTGTATCATTGTGTGTGTGTGCGTGTATCATTGTGTGTGTGTGTGTGTGTGTGTGTGTGTATCATTGTGTGTGTGTGTGTGTGTGTATCATTGTGTGTGTGTGTGTGTGTGTATCATTGTGTGTGTGTGTGTGTGTGTATCATTGTGTGTGTGTGTGTGTGTGTATCATTGTGTGTGTGTGTGTGTGTGTGTGTGATGTTTGTAATTGGTGTGTGTGTGTGTGTTTGTGTGTGTGTCATTGTGTGTGTGTATGTGTGTGTATCATTGTGTGTGTGTGTGTGTGTATCATTGTGTGTGTGTGTGTGTGTGTGTATCATTGTGTGTGTGTGTGTGTGTGTATAAATTGTGTGTGTGTGTGTATCATTGTGTGTGTGTATCATTGTGTGGTGTCGTGTGTTGATTCATTTGTGTGTGATGCTGTGTGTATGTGTACTTGTGTGTGTGTGTTTGTATCATTGTTGTGTGTGTGTGTATCATGTGTGTGTGTGTCTCATGTGTGTGTAGTTGTGGTATCATTGTGTGTGTGTGTGTGTGTGTGTGTATCATTGTTTGTGTGTGTATCATTGTGTGTGTGTGTGTATCATTGTGTGTGTGTGTTATAGTTGTTTTCCTCTGTTCAGGATGCAGGCATGTCTTTGGAATCAGAGGGCATCTTTGCTGCACAGGTCCGCTCACTGGCTCTTACCAACCTGGCCGAACTACACGCCATGCGTAAGCTTACACACACACTTCAAGGAAACTGCATCTTGAGCACCCATCATCATAAAGATCGCTGCTTCGCCTTTTAAGAGATTAGTGTGTGTGAATATGTAAGGGAGCGAGAAGGAGAGGCGCTCGCTCCGTCACAGGGACGGATGGAGAAGGCTGGTAAATAATGGATGACTCTTCCTGTTTTCTGTCTTTCATCTTGTTTTAGTCTCAAACGTCCACCACTGGTTTTCACATACGTCGCTCCGTTTCCTCTTTCTGTATTTCAGTGTCCACAATGAAACACACACACACACACACACACCAAACCTTTCCTGCTTTCAGATGCATCTGTTCTTTATATCTCTGTTAATTGAAAAATGTGGTCATTTTTACTTTCCCACAAATTCCCTCTCAAACAACAAATACCTGTGCCCTTCAGCCATTTTTACATATTTGTAGACATGTTATAGATTACACGTTTATTTTATTAGCTACATTCCAACCATTGCCCCCTCATACTGCCACAGATAAATAGTGCAATATTCAATAACAAAGAAAATGGTCGTATGATTCCTGGCAAAGTAAGTCGGCATGATGAAAGTCGCACAATTCTATCTGTCCAAGGACAATAAACCTTGACGTGTTTTAGTGCGAGGCATTACTACTTGCAAGAGGTTATAATCCACAGCTCCCACAAATGATACAGCGACTTGGTGTATATAGGTTATATTCAACGTATATTCATAACTAAACCACACGGATCAATTCCAGAGAGGACAAGCTGTTGCTCCTTCTTCCTTTCCCTCTCATCACTCATCCGTCTGCTCTGTTTTCCAGTGTCGGATCCATCTTGCCCGGTGACGGATCTCAGTGTTTTCCGTGGCAGCCTCATCGTCGGCTTCAAAAAGTGAGTCAATTAGCCCGTTCTCTGTTTATGTCTTAATGTGTTCTTCATCATTTGATATTCCATATTTCTCCATAATTTCCTTCAAACTCCTGAATGGTGTTTTTAGGGAGGCCTGTAGCGCTATAGAGGTCACTGCAGCATATGCTATGACTATGACATGTGCAGCGTATCACACCATCCACAACGTCTGTGTGTGTGTGTGTGTGTGGGCAGCTGCAGGGAAAAACACTCCATCACACACACATATTCGCGGCTGCCTCATGCATATGGAGGCAGTCATCCCTCAGCTCTCGCCCCAAAGCACCGTGGGAGATATGTAAATGAGCAGATGCCCACCACTGCCCCTCGTACATGGACCCCCATACTGATCTAACTCTCTCTCCTGCACACACACACTCGCACTCACACACTCACACAGAGGAAGCCTTAGGACCGGGGTCTGACCCGTGGGCTTTTGTTGAAGGGGTATTTATGAATATTTACAGTTTAGCACTCCACACCCACACAGAAACGCTCCGGCCCCTGAGTGAAGCTGGAGGTGAGCCAAAGAGAAAAGGCGCTGACTTATCTGCAGGGAGCAAAGTTATTTCTTCCTCCAGAAAGCTAAACTCTGCTCAGTCGAGCTTAACTTTAAACTTTCTTAGTTATTTACTTTGTTGTAACTGATTTGCTAATTCACTTGGTTGATTTCTAACTAACGTAATAGGCAAATAATTGTAAAAATGCATGCAATATAGTTTTAGCTTATTTTGAAACCACCAATAAATGAACATTACAAGACTGTTTTTAGAAGATATTGGCTTCATTTAAAATCATTGAATCCACATTGCTGTCCGTCTTTTATGTGTATGACTTCGCTCCCTCTCCATTTGCCATGCATTAACACACACACTCACACACACACCTACACACTCCTCTGAGTGTTAAGTTGCCTGACAGGGTCGTAATTGGGCTTGTCACTTGGGGAATGTGTGTGTGTTGGTGTGTGAGTGCCGTGTCATTGCAATGCGGGACCTGCCCCTGTCAAAGACAAGGTCAGGGGATAATTTAATCATTAAAGACCTGTTCTTCTCTCTTCTCCTCTCATCTCCCCCTTTATCCTCCTCTCCAGCAACTAGCTGACAACGCCACAAATGTCGCACGTTGTCATCATTTAGTGTGTGTGTGTCTTTTGTGGTTTCCCAGGCTTTTGTACTGCTGTCTTTCCTCTCTTGTACTGCGGGATTGAGTGTGTCAAACTGAAAAATCTGTCGCGCTTTCTTAACGTATTTTATTGTACTACACTGTCCATTCAGTAGCTATGGCAATATGACACATGTCAGTATTATGGTCACTTAAATCAAACCCTATCTGATGTCAGAAAATGTACTTATTTTTGATTATATCAAACATTTATGAGGTTTTTATATATATTTAAAAGTTGGGGTGGAAATGGGATTTTAAAAAACATCTATATTTCAGTTTTTAAACAACATTCAGATCCTTTTGAACATTGAACGGTTCACCAACAGTACAAAGTTCACTGACCGTACAAGCAATCAATATTCAAGTGATCTAAGTTTAGAGACATCTCGCAATATTGTAATTTGACAACTTGAGTGATCATTTATGGAGGGAATTTACAGCAACAGAGCTCAAAGTTGGTCAAACTTGAATGTTGTTTGAGAGCAGAATAAATCCCTGATGGAAGTGTGTGTGTGTGTGGTGGAGGTGGTTCTTTTTCCTGAGATGAATTTTTAGCAAATGTAGACGTCCTTTTATGTTTGAGCCCTAAAAGCAAAACGTACCTTCACTTGTGAGCAAATTGCACATTAACTCTGACTCGCTGGAGTCCTGTGGACCCGCTGTGTGTGTGTGTGTGTGTGTGTGTGGCCCAGCTGCTCATGTGTTGTCCTCTACTGCCCCCTGCAGGTTCTCTGATGTGGAGAGCATGGTGAAGGTAAGAAGTGAATGTGCCCATATTATGTTTTGAGTGTCTGTGAAGGATAATGTACTGGACTACAGACGACGAAAAACATTTTAAGTAAAAGTGAAATAGCTGGAAATAATGAAAAAGATCCAGTAAAAGAGCCTTCATGTACAAAAGAGATAACGCTTTATAAAGACATGCACTTATTAAAGTTAAAACTAATCTCTTTTTCGTATTTAAAGCATTTGATGCATGTTCACTATATATGACGGCTTATTCCTCACACAATGAAACAGTTAGGATATCCAGTTTACTCACCATCTGCTACATACTGGGTTACATTTAGGAAGAATATACAATCTGACAAATGCCATCTGCTGCCTTTTATCCAAATCTCCGTATGGCCCACTGAACGTATAAATAAAAAGATATTAAGCAAACATACAGTTCATTCACACACAGAGCTCTTTCACAATATACGAAATGTAGTTGTTAAAGGGTTAATAAAAAAAAGAATTGTTAAGGATTGGATTGCCTATGATGAAATGTAACCCTAACTATTCCTGTGGAGATGGTGTTGTTGGCTTTAATGTACGCTATTTGTCTTATTGTGTGTTTAATTTTTGTTTTTGTTTTCCCCAGATGATTGAGCTCTTGTCCAAAGACCCGCGCTTCTCAAGAGACGGCAAAGAGACGCATAGTAAGGAGATGTTTGTACACAAGTCAGGACTTTCATATCTTATGGTGTCCTTGTATGCAAGAGTTGTGTGTGTGTGTGTGTGTGTGTGTGTGTATTTGTGTAGGTGAACAAATGACAGAACGCTTGTTTGTGTGTGTCATCTATCAGTATTCAAACTTGCCGACTGCTGTCTCCGTCTCATCCATGACAAAAACATGCCCAGTGTGTGTTTGTCCGATCTGTGTGTGTGTGTGTGTTTATGTGCAGTCTCAATGGCAGCAATTCTGCCGACCGCCCCGCCTCTTACATCCAGCCTGTGTGAGTTTATTTCCAGGTGTGTGTGTGTGAGTGAGTGAAAGACCTGCTCTCTCCGTCTGAGGAAATAGAGCCTGGCTGCTGACACAGCGATGAGTAGTTAAAAGAGTGTGTGTGTTATTGCTGTGCAGCGTTCCTGGTCTGAGTGTGTGTGTGGGTGTTTGGAGCGTTAATGTCGCTCCGTGTAAGTGTGTGTCACGGACAGTCCCCATCTGAAACTGGTGTTAGTGCTGGTGGGAGCGATGGAGACTGTTATCCATGTCACATCCCATTAGGCCACATCATCTGCGTGTATGTGTGTTTTATGTGTGTGTGTGTGTGAGAGAGTTGAAGTAGTGGGAAGCTGTCACTGCCAGCCATCGCACGTTCACTCACACTGCAGCCCAGAAGCAGCCTCTGTCAGCAGAAACACACACACTCTGCAGAGGTTACGGATTTTTTTTATAAATGCACAAATGGATGCAGTGACGGACACGGAGGCAAATTAAATGTATTCCCAAGACAACTAGTCACTCTGTGTGTGTGTTTGTGTGTGTTTTCATCACTTCCAGATACTTCAGCCTTCTTCTTGTACCATTTTATCGACCACATGTCGGAAAGGGAAGTGCATGCAAATAAAGACAAGCTGCGGATATTCTTCAATCAACTAAAAGATCAGGTACACACACACACACACACACACACTGATGTGAGCACATTCATACACCAATCAACCATATATCCAGTTAATTCATAACCTTCCCGCATTAAAAGAGCTTACACACTCTGATCTGAGATGATTCGCTGTGTGTAATCAGATTCGGATTATTCACGATGTTCACACACACACACACTCTTTTCCTGCTCTCCATTGCTGAAGACTGAAGGTTTGAGTTGAGACGTCCAGACATGTTGTAGAAGATTAAATCATGTTTTACATTACTGGTCAAAGGGCACATCTTAAAGTGGACCTATCATGCTATATTTAAATGATATATTGTAGGGCCATACCTATATAAGGTATATTTATACGTTTCTGTTTTCAAAATACCAAACGGATCATGCATTTTAGCCATGCCTCATTTCGCTCTATGTGCTGTTTGCTGTCTACGGGTCTGATTCTGCTGACCACGCCCCCCTGCAGGAGAGGGGAGACGTGCTCTGATCAGCTGCTGGGCTGTCAGAAGAGGGGGAGAAAAAGAGATCTCCGTGTTTTATTATATAGAGTCGTTATTCATTTGTTTTAAAGCTCAATAAATAACAAAGAAGACCTTTGACCGGCACTTTTCTAATTTTGTCCGGAAGATTTAAACTTTAACGGACATCTTGACCGGCGAAAGAAACTGAAACTGAAACTCTGCCGCACGGTCCCCTCGTTCCTTGGAAGAGGCGGAGAGGTGGGTGTTTGTCATCTGCTGGTGGACTAACCGGAGAGAATTACAGTGCTTGCCTCGACGGGGAGGGATTGCATTGAATTAAAGCAGCGGGAGCAAACGCTTGCCTCGGGGAGGGAGAAAAAAAGCCACAGCGGAGAATAAACAGAAGGGTAACCATGGTAACTATGGGCGGGAAGTCTTCTTCGCTGCTTTTGTGGCAGACTACAGCGCCACTTACAGGCCTGGCATATGTACTACAGCGTCTCCAGCGCTTTCGAGCGGCAATGGCCGGCCGTGGCCCAACCCCACATTCCCCTGATAGGTGGAGAGTTGGCCCAATAGCCGTAGCGCCACTTCTGTGACTTCTGGATCAGTTTTTATCAGATCCGTTGCAGCCCCTTTTTTAGAGATTTGGGTATGGAGGAAAATAGAGAGGGTTGTGTTTTCTGACACTTGGTGAGTTCCCTGGAACACCGGGGACACATATTCATGTATAAAAGACGTACAAAAGTGCATTTTGCATGATAGGTCCCCTTTAAAGGGCCGTTTGGAGTTCAGTACGAACAAATAGACAGTCTTGGTTTTTGTGTCACGGAAAAAAATACCCCAATTGAACAAACGGGTGAACATTTTCACCTAGGAAAGTTTAATTCTGACCTTGAAGGACTTTTTTTAGTGACTCCTAATGAGCAGTTATTGGTAGTAGAAATAGTTAGAAGTGTGTAAATACCAGAAAGCAAAAAAACACTATAATCGCATATTCATTTACAGTAGTTACACACATTGTATTTTACTATCAGAAATAAATGAAAGCACCTAGTAAATGTTTGTTGTGCATGCATATTGAGCTTAAGTCAAACACAAGCTCTGTGACGGCTTTTAAACAAAGCTATTAAACTTATTTCTCAGCCATTTTGTTGCAGTTAACTTTTTACAAACAAAATGCAACAGGTTGAGCTCCTGTGGAACCTGTTGCTTGTTGTTGGCTCATCGGTGCTTTGCTGATGTGGTTTTTCTCCCTTTTTGTTTCTCTGTAGAAGATATCTGTGACACCGAACATCTACAGAGGCATCAGGAGGCTGCTGGACTCCTACCAAGCCTCAGAGCTCGTCAAGGTACAGTACATAGTATTTGTACTAAGTTTCTGTACTGTACTACTCTGTTATTATAGCGTCCCTAATGATTAAGATGTTTAATGTTATGTGTGTGTGTGTGTGTGTGTGTGTGTGTGTGTGTGTGTCAGGATGTGGGTGCTCTGGTGAACTATGGCTTGGAGTCAGATGCTCTCCCTGGCTCGGTAAGTAGGACGCTGTGAACAATGCATATCAAATGTTCAAAACGCTACGAGACGTTATTCATTTTTAATGCTTATGTTTATCTTTAGGGAAACTTGTATTGCTTGAACTCCACATTTGAATACAACTTGCAAAAAAATAAAACGCACAGTGTTATTTAAAACAAGCTCTTGAAGGAGTGTATGCATTTGATTATGTGTTTAACACCTTTCTCCATCAGGGGCCTGAGAGCGGGGGGTATGCTCTTGAGAAGATCGGGAGCAGGGTGTATGCTCTTGAGAAGAAGCTCGCCAAAAGGAAAAGCGAGAACCAACCATTGGGCTTCATGCTCAAACAAACCATCCAGAGTCACGCCGCTGAGGATGTAGGATTTGTTTGGATCACTCGCACTTTTTTTTCTTCTTGAAATGTGTTGCTTTTTGTGTGTTTGGTCCTGGAATCTGTTGTTTTTTACGTGTGATTAGAACTTGGTGCGCGCCCTGGAGCTGAAGCAGGAATACGAGGACGAGATGTTGCTCCCCGCATACGCCACCCTCATCGGCCTGTGCTGTCGCCACGACAACGTGGAGGAGGCGCTCAACCTGAAGAGGGAACTGTAAGTGAGGCAGGATACACAAAGAAGTGCTGCGACCAGTGGTACGCCATTAAAGTTTAACTTGAGTGGTATTAGGGGAGACATTAATGCAGGGTCCAGCCGCTCTGTTGACTAAAACACAGGAAACTCTCCCTTCCACCCTCGTTTCCTTCTCTTCACTCACCACCTCATCAGACTGAAGGCCAGCAGGAGAGCGTACAATAGATGAGGTGCATTACTGTAAGTGAACTACATTAATCTGTCTGTCTCCGTCTCTGTTTTCAGTACTCGTAAGGACTCGTCAGTGACGCTTGATGGCAATAAATACATCTCACTGGTTAATTCTCTCGCAAAGAAAGACAGAATAGAGGGTAAGTTTCTCTAGGGTGCAGCTACGATTTTAGTGTGCCAATTGCTTCATTAGTCAGCTTCTTCTTAAGTGTCCTTTTTATATAAAAACTGCACACCACACTTTCTCAGACTCTTCTCAAACTGATCTTCTAAAACGAAAAGATCTTCAAACACATTCCAGCTTGATGGTTTAAAAACTATTGATTATCTTGAATGTTCTTTTGTTTTGTGTCAATTGATTAATTGACTAATCCCACAAGCACTTAGTTCCTCACTCCTTTATCTCTGACTGTAAACTGGATCAAAGTGTGAGATGTGTGTGTGTGTGTGTGTGTGTTGAGCCTGTGTGTGTCACCAGCGCTGTCACAATCTGTCTCTCTCCCTCCCTCAAACCACATTAGCCGGCCATTTTCAGAATGCTACGGTGGGTTTCCTTCAGCCCATCGAAGACCCAATTACCATCAGTTTTGTCGCTCTGCTTTTTGCACACAATGACAGGCAAAATGATTCCCCCGACTGTCCTCCCCTCTCTCCGTCTTCGTCTCTGTCTCTCTATCTGACCCTCTCTCCCCCGCTCTGTCTCCAAGCGTGTCATTCTCTCAATCTCCCACCCGTCGCACACACCCGCGTCACTGAGAAATGAGAGAGGGGGGAAAATTACAGGACTGTGTGTATTTTTCCAGAATTATTGAAATCCGCCTCGATGCTAATGGCAGATCATGTCCGCTGAAGTGCTTGAGCATTACACACACACACACACACACACACACACACAGACATTTGCATGTGAATTCAAGCAAAAGGCATTTGGTGGCCGCGACTTGGTTGGTTGGGGTGGGTGTGTGTGTTGGGGTGTGTATAGGCAGCGCTAACGCATTTGCCATTAGCCAGAGTGTGCATATGGAGGGGACGCTTGTCAGCCACATTAGCACACATGGCTAACCTTGATGTTAGCCTGTCCCCACCCAGCACACACCAGGCCCAGCTGAAGATCATGTCTCCTGGCATCTTGCTTTTTTATTTCTCGCCCTCTCTAATGGCTTTGTTGTTTTTGCCCTTGTTTCAAAGCCTCCCATCTAACCTCGTCAGGCAACTTTGTTTTCATCTCTCTTTTATCCTTTTGAATGTATCCTTATGTTGCCTTCCATCCACTGCTCGTCCCCCTCAGGGTCCTTTTAATCTTCACATCTGTCAGTGTCTATACATCCATCTGTCTTACCTTTCATCTCTTTATTTGCGTGCCATTGTTTTTCAGAAGGTTAGGGGGGGAAAACAATTGAAGTCATACTCACAAAATATAGTGAACTTCTTCCGACAACAACAGATTCCCAACATCGCTATCTGATCGTGTCCTAGGTTTCCCCTCAAAAACATGATATGGACATGTGGGTTGATAATTGCAGATGTAACATTCCCACCATATTAGCCTGCAGCCGCTTATGGCGCGTTTCCACTACAGCGCGAAGCACGGTTTAAGAGGGCGGTGACGTCAGCGGCCCGTCTTTGGTTGCGTTTCCACTTGGCCTAGTACCGGCCGGCGGTATGCTAAAACCAGAGAGAGCATCGCTGGCAAGGGGGCTACAACTACAACAAGATGGACATATTTGACCGTGATTTAATTGTAATACACGTTTCAAAATGATGCCGAAGTAACAACATACTGATACCGGTTAGTAAAAACCATGAATTAATGCTTTGTCAAGTCTGCAGACAGACGGCAGGCGAAAAACCTTTTAAAATGCGTGTTTTCTAAATGGAGATTGGCTAAGCTAACGCAGTATATGCTCCGACCGTCCACACTCACAACAACGGCCTATACAGACATAAATAAAGCAGCGACTGTATTCACCATGACACAGGCAGTCTGTGGTTTGTACTTGTTTAACTTTTGTCTAGTTTCTGAACATATATGAGGAGCTGTGAGCTCTGAGTGCTAACAGCTAACGGCTGTGTTGTTTTTCTGGGGTTCTCATTGAAGATCACGTCACGGCTCCGCCTACACTGCGTTACTATAGATACTACCCCAGTTCCTAAACTGTAATGGAAATGCGCCATAAAGTGAGCCAGTCCTAACGAGGCCCAGCCATACCGAGCGAGGCCGTGTAGTGGAAACGCGCCAGTTACCTCATTGTAAACTAAATGATCCCGTTTAGAACTTAAGACAATTGTATCCAGTTATTGCTGCCATCCATACCAAAGATAATCAAATATAATCCTCAAATTCTTTCAGTGTCATTGTGAATTAGTTTTGAAGTTGTATACTACTTACTCAGATCATATGGCTTGCCAGACATAAACACAGAGCTGTTGACTGTTGAATTAGTTCATTGTTAAAACTGTTAAAAAATTGAACTGTTGAAACAACTTCAAACATTCATCTGCTACTAATACCTAATATATATATATATATCATTCCAATAACTTGTATATAGACTCGTACTGCACTATTCCACATCATAACTTTATTTTATTTTATAACTATTATTCTTTTTGTATTGCTCTTGCTCTTATTGTTATTATGTTGCATTGTTGGAGAAGCCTGTGACATAAGATTTTCAACTACATAATTACTCTGTAGCTATGTCAGATTGACAATAAAGAACCTTGAACTTCCCAATCTTTCAATTTTAATTTTAGCTTTTAAAAAAAACTTGAAACGTTACTGCCACAAAATAAGTTTTTAGTACTTTCCCAATTGGTTTCCTGTCTGTGGACTGGTTGTGTCTTCAGGATAGTGTCACTACATTGCAAGATGCATGTCGTAAAAATGTCATTTACAGATGTCTAGTTGTGATCAAAACAAGGTGGTGTTTGCAGCTGGCTGTGGTCAAAAGTAAGATGCTTGAAAACGGAGGGGATTGGTGTAATCCCATTGGAAGATGGTGTCTAGTTTTCACTGCCAACACCAGTGCTAAACTTTACATTTTGAATGAACGCCAATAAGGACATCAAAAAACCTCCTGAATATGTAGATATGTTTAGCTTGAACTTGCTTTTCAATTTAAAGTCCCGCTGACACAAACAATATTTAATGGATAACCTTTTTGTACATCCCATACCAGAAGAATGCATCCTTTAATCTAACTGTCCTGCCTCCCAGTGAACCTGCCTAACCCTTCTTCATGGGCCTGTACACCCCTTCACTTCTCTCCCTCATCTTTTAAATACACCTCTCTATCACCAAACGTCTCTTTGACCTGCCCTTGCCCCTCTCCCTCCATCTGTCCATCCTCCCACTTTGGTAAACACAACTTTTCCTGGCTTTAGGAGGTCCTGGACCCGTCTTTGGTGCTGTGTGTGTGTGTGTGTGTGTGTCTCTCTAGCAGTCAAGTCATGCAACATTAGATGAACCATTGGGCTGTGTGATGTTTGTTTACCTGGCCTGTCTCTGCCTCCATCCCCTGATGTGAGAGTGTGTGTTTGGATTGGCTCGCTTTGCTGGCCATGATGCTCGGTTGAGCTGATGGATATGCATACTGGCTAAACGGACGGATAAAGGCAGAGATGGATAGAGGGGGGGGGGGGGGGATTCAACGTAAGATGGAGGGATGTTAGCTGGTGTAGCTCCATTTGGGCGGATCAACTCCAAGCCATTGGTCTCAGTGATTAGCGGGTGTGTCGGAGTGATGGAGAGAGGTATAGATGGAAGGAGGGAGGAAGTGAAACATGGAGAGACACAGAGAGTCAGTGGGTGAGAACAAGTTGCATATGAACTGATAAACAGTACAAACATGACGTCAGGTCATTATAGGGCAATCCTTTAAAGAGGCCCTATAGTGCTTTTTGAGGTTTACCCTTTCCTGCAGTGTGTTGAGTATTTTGTTAATGTAAATGGTCAAGGCTAAAATCCCAAAGTTCCCTTTTAGAGGGAGTTTCTCAGTTTAACAGTGTCCCCCCTTGACCCCCCTTCCTCCTCCTTTCTGTATTTCCCCCTGTCCCATTACATATGTGACAGCCTTTGGTTCCCATCGCCATAACAACTGGCACAGAGAGGTGGAGAGCTGGAGAGAGACATACTGAAATGAGGATGCCAAAGCACTCACCAGTGGCCCTGTCCCTCAGCCCCGTGTGTGTGTGTGTGTGTGTGTGTGTGTGTGTGTGTGTGTGTGTGTGTGTGTGTGTTGTGTGTTGTGTGTTGTTGTGGTGTGTGGTGTGTGTGTGTGTGTGTGTGTGTGGTGTGTGTGTGTTGTGTGTGTGTGTGTGTGTGTGTGTGTGTGTGTGTGATGTGTGTGTTGTGTGTGTGTGTGTGTGTGTGTGTGTGTGTGTGTTGTGTGTGTGTGTTGTGTGTGTGTGTGTGTGTGTGTGTGTGTGTGTGGTGTATGTGTGTGTGTGTGTGTGTGTGTAGTGTGTGTGTGTGTGTGTGTGGTGTGTGTGTGTGTGTGTGTGTGTGTCACTTTTTTTTACTTTAACTTAATTTTCTTTTCTGCATCTGAGCTTGCTGCACATCAACGTAAGGAAAATGTTGGTGTGAATTTTGAACTCGATGCCCATATTGCCCTGCAGTTAGAGGACTGGCTTGTCACACATTATTCAAATATATTCTGCATCTCTCCATCTCCCCCCCTCCTCTTGGTCATGCTGTATAGATTAGTATCTGTGGGTGGAGAGCGGCTGTATCGCTGTCAGCCCATTAGCAGCTGTCTAAATAGACAGTAAACACATCTTAATTACCTTAGTCTGATACACCACATATACACACAAACATACACACATTCCCTTTTAACCATTTAGCCCCTAGTGTTGGCCAGATGGGCGCGTGGCCCGGTGAAAAGCCCTCCATTACCGGCTGGGCTTGACCAAACTGATCCACCCCTCAGCCCGCTTACCGGGGTCTCACTGGGGCCACGGCGGGCCCTTGTCGCCACATACCTATAATTTAGCCCCCCAAGTGCTTTCCACATGGCCACGGCAAAAAGCCGGCCTCCATTGTAGGGGTCCGGTAATTGTAGTCTCGTTTAGAAAACCGCAAGTAGCAATTAGCACAGAGTTGGCATTATACGGGGCTGGATTTGCATCCCTGCTGGGCACAAAATGCTGTTTTAATATGAGTTTGTTTTCCCCACATGGAATTAGCTAAAGGGGCCTTTTATCATATTCACACACCCTACTCTTCTCCCAGCTCTGCCCACCGCTCGCCTTCCCTTCATCACGCTGCATAATCTCTCTTTCTTCCTGTCTTTTGTTCTTTACATTTGGCCTTTCCCGTCTTTACCTGTAAATCACCATCCCTTTATGTTGACTGATGTTTCTTCACACTCTCTCTTTCCCTCCATCACAGAGGCAGTGGACCTCCTGAAGGAGATGAAAGAGAGGGATGTGGTGTTAACTGACAAAAACAACACGCAGCTCTTCCACATGCTCTTTTCTCTGGCGAACAATGGCGCCGCCTCCACCGTTGAGCGCCTGCAGGACTCCATATTCACCCTCGGACTGGCCAAGCCCACCACCCTCCTCCTCTCACCCCTGATGACTGCATACATCAAGAAGTAAGCAAACTGGCTGTGTTACAAATCACAAAAACACTCCCTCAAACAAAAATAACCAAAGTTGGGGAGTCGTTCTTTTGACTTCCATGTCTTTATTAGCTTTAAGTCACTGGAGAAAAAAAGGTATGCTACAAGAATTGTTGTATTTCTTAGAACATCAATACAAGGCTGAACGGCTGTTTCTAAGTTTTTCACATTCATTTTTTCCAACTGGGAACTTTATTTCTCCAGATTATTTCAACACCATGTTTATGCAGCCTTATTCTGCAAATGTAACAAAAGCGAAACACAATTTGTGCATCCGCTCGTGTCCAAAATATTGTGGGTTCTTCCTTGACCCACGCTACACCCTTCCACCAAGTTTCATGAAAATCAGGCCAGTCGTTTTTCAGCAATCCTGCTGGCAGACAAACAAACAGACAAACAGACAAACAGACACACAGACAAACATAGCTGGAAACCATCATTTGTGTTATGGTATATTATCTTTCTATGGCTGAAGTTCTCCCCTTACCAGCCAACTAGCTCACTTTTGTTTTCAGATTTGTGTCTTCATCTGCCAAATCCAGTTGCCAGGTGTGTGTGTGTGTGTGTGTGTGTGTCTCAATGAGTCGCTCATCCCTCCCTATGATCATAGCTGAGGTTACTCTCTGGGTCAGCGATTCAGACAGAGAGAGGATGTGGAAATTGCTCATTTATGTATATGTGTGTGTGTGTGTGTGTGGTGTTAGAGCCAGGTTTTGTTTGTTAGAGAGAATTCGCCAGCTGCAACCTCTCTCATGAGCCCCCACCCCTGATCTGCTGAAACACCCGATGCTCTACTCAAATGTGTAAGTGTGTGTTTGTGGTGAGAGATGGCCATCGATGCTTCTTCCCATAATGCAAATATGCAAATGAACGTTACCAAACACTGGCTGGGGGTCACTGGTATTGCCCCACCCCTCAACTCTATTCAGTATGTGTGTGTTATTCAGAGTGTGTGAGTATTATATTTTTTTCAGAGCAGCTTTTAAGTAGATCAACTCATTAGCATGTTAATTATGTACAAAGCACTAATTGCTGGATTTACCACAGCACCGTTAGGGGCCCACTAGTACACACACACACACATGCCCTTCACATGCTCTCACACACTGTTTACCTCTAGTGTACATGCTGCTCTGTAGAGGTAGACCTTTGCACACACACACACATGCCCAGACGCTCACACACACACCTGTGCTCCCCTGCAGCTGTTTGTTTTGCTGTAAGTCTGCTCCCTGGCACCAACAGAGTTTCCAGGTTCACTCGTTAATCACTGCCTCTGTGAGATTAGCAGGCTAATTTACTCCTGGGTCATCAACGGCAGCCAAAACACAAACACACACACACACAAACGGGCACACACACCAGCTTAGCACAGCCCTGTTCACAAATCAAGTGCCAGTTGTACTTCCTCCAAATGATACTGCAGTGAAAACACACTAATGAGCACGTGAACAAGCGGACTGCTGGTATTTCAGCTGGCTGGTTGTCAACGCTTGAAAATAGTCCTCAAACTAAATGTAGAACTTGATATGCACATAATATTCGTTTGTCGTCCACTTCACTTGAGAATATCGTACATTTTTGTTTGGAAAGTGTAGCTAGTTTAAACGATAAACAACAGAAACATCTTTCCTTCCAATTTCAGGCTCAACTTTTATTTTAGCAGATTATTCACTGCAGGAGTTAAATAATGACTATTCGGCTATCTCTAAAACATCAGTTTCAGGCACTGAGGCTGCCTTTACACGGGAACGTTTGCATTTACGCACCGTATGCGTTTTCAAAAAAGTCTTCCGTTCACACGCATTCGATTCATTTAACGTGTCTGTTCACACGAGACCGCTCGACCCGCAGGAAACGCTGTAGTACATATGCCAGGCCTGTAAGTGGCGCTGCTGCCGCCACTAAATACACCAAAAGCAGCGAAGAAGACCCCGGAGCATGGTTGCCATGGTTGCCCTTCTGTTTATGCCCCGTGGTGGATTTAGCAACATGTAGTAGTTCATGTAATTCTCCATGTCCACTTGTTTGCTGATGGTTGTGGTAGAGGAGCTGTAGATTTTGGACTAACATCTGTAGCATGGTCAGTAGCAGTAGCACTAGCAGTAGCTACTGACTAGCTACTGACCATGCTACAGCAGTGAGCAGCAGAGGTGGGGAGAGGCGCGGCTATGGCTTCATCTATCGGGGAAATGATCGTATAGAGGCGATTACACAGAGCCGTTTGACCCCCCAGAGCGCTCCGTTTGCAGATCTATCCACCTTGGGACCCGTTATCGTTTGCGGGGTCCGTTTCTATAGTTTTGTTACGGCCTCGTGTAAATGAAAGGGCTGTACGCATGAGAAACTATGCGGATACAACCCGTTTCGTTCCCGTGTAAATGGGGTCTGAATAATGTAGAAGTTCAACTGAAGGCCCCTAATAACGGACCGTCCACACAGCAGCGTTAAAAAATCTTGGAACGCTTCTGCCCATTCACTTTGAATGGGGTGATGTCACTTTGCGCCGAACTGCATTGTGGGCAGCAGAGCGGAGATTTTCAGGATTTTCAGGATTCAAAGTTGAGCAATGTTCAACTTTTGAAGCTGAGGTGGAAGCGTCAGCCAATCAAATCCCGTGTATGCAAATCTGACAGTTCAAGCGCTAGCCAATCAAAACCGCGTGTATGCTGGGAGAGACATACCGCAGGTCATTTCCTCATATTCCAAAAAATGCAGGAGAAATTAGCGGTAGGGAATCACCCGGTGCTTTATGACCAGTCCCTATTTACCTACCGGGATATAAACCGGAGGAGCCAGGCATGGAGGGAGGTGGCAGAGACAGTGGTAGGTTTTCGCCTGTTTGGGGAGTTTATATCCAGTTTACTTCAAACTTTTTTGCTTCGTATGTCGGGGGCGGGAGATTCATGTGATTGGTTGTTGGTGCCTTGCTCGCAAAAAATCCCCAAGCTTCAGATACGCCCACCTCCAAGATTTTTTTTTAACGCTGCTGTGTGGACGGGCCGTAAGGCTTTGCAGTTACAGCTTTGATCTACAGTGGCAGCTTTAAAACGACAGAGGCGGGCTGCTGGCTGAAATAAAAGTGTCTCTTGGGAAGATGTGTGAAATGTTTAGTAATGTAAAGCGTTTCCACCACATAGTTCCAGCAGGGCTGAGCCTCAGGGCAGGTTTGAGTACCACAGCACTTGACTTTTGCGCTCCAGCTGAATCCATCTCCTCGTCCTCGTCTCCTCTTTTTATCTTTTATATTTATCCGGTGGTCTCCTCCTCTTCATGCCGTCAGTCAGGGGACAAACAGACAGTGGGGAGGAGGGGGGACGGAGGGAAGAGATAAAAGAGGACAAAGCAGGCATCACTCCTGCCTGCACCCGTCTCATCGCTGTGTCAGCGCTAATGACTTAATGAACACTTCTCCGGCAGATTAGCCCTTGACAGCCCATCATATGCGCCGCCCTGTTAGCCTTCATGCCCGTCCGCTCACTGTTGTGTGTGTGCTAGCCTGCTACTACTCTTGCCCAGATTGCCACATCCTTATGGAAGTGATTAGCGTCAGAAAATGCTAATGAGTCGCACTAAATGAAGAGCTGGCAGGACGTGTGTGATAAGACAGAAAAACGGAGGGGAGAGCTGATGGGCGATGAGTGAGTTTCACACTTTCCTACGGTCTTATATTGTGTTTACGTACATTTTTAGTGAGGCCTAACACAAGATCACAGCCTCCCCTTTCAATTACAGTAAGACCAGATGAAAATAAAATGAGTGATATAGGAGGTGGAAATAAAAAAAGGAAATCCTTGGTAGATGAAGCGAAGCAGCCAGAGGTGAAAATATAGAAAAGGGGAACAAGAGAAAGATTGTAACTGCAGCACAACTTAACTCCATGAATGGTTCAACATGCCCTAATCAATTATGCTTATAAAACAATGATGGGTTAAATTGTCAATGATGTTCTCATACTGACGATATCGCGGATAGTTAATCTGCAGTTACCATAAGCTCTGTGGGACGTTATCAGTTTGGCTTTTCGGTTTGGAGGCGTCTAGTTTTAGGCAAGAAACTAGTAAACTCCCAATATCAAGCAGCTAATGAAAGGAACAGTAAGCAACATAGTGGAGCATTCAGCAGGTAAAGAGTCTTTCCTCAGAAATTGAGACCAAAACTGAGCTAATAGGAGAGGGTGGACTATTGGGGGAGACGGGAGTAATGAGGATAATGCTGCTTGATGAGTAAACACTATCGACTACTGTTGCCATATCAACATTATGCAGTATGAAGACTCTTCACCTGTGTGGGTAGTGAAGTAAACATGAATACGTGCCATTCTTCCACACATGCAAGTGTATAACAGTGGGCTAGTGGTGTCATGATCGCTGTCTCATTTGCATTTCCGTGAGATAGACACCTTGTCCTCCCCCACGCAAGGACAGTGGCGTGATAACAGGCCTGCCGATCTCCTCGGAACAAAAGAGGGGGACGGAGAGGGAGAGAAATGGGAGGAAGGGGGGGGTGAGAGATGAGGCAAAATGAGCTTCCTTGTCTAATCCTTCAGGTTTCCACTGAGCAAAGCGCTCCCATTTTTTTTCAGGGCTTAATTGGCTGGAAAGTGGCTGACATGCAAAGTTGAGGACATTAACAGGGCTGTGCGCCGCAGTAAATGGCAACGCAAAGTGACAGTTAAATTGTACCTAGGGGAAATTATCCATCTTTCGACATCCTTAGCTCTTTTTTGGGGTGGATCGGTGGGCGGAGAGAGGGGGAGAGGGGAGGAAGGCAGATGGGGGTGTAATTGCAACACCAGGCCTTATTTTTTGGAGAGTGATGGGATGTTTTTTTTTTAAAGATGTCTCATTAGGGTGGAGGGATTATAAGTAGGTGTGGAGGAAAGAATAAAGTGGACGGATAGAAGGGATGAAATTGAAACATTGATTCCACCAGCATGACTCGGTAAAAAAGTATTGCAAGACACCACATAACAACAGTATTTGTCCATTCAAGCCACATTTCGTAAATTACAAACGTCAATTGTTTCATTTTTGTAGTAAATACCCAGGACCCCCTCCCTCCCTCCCTCTCCTGTTCTCATTCAATCTCCACTCTCTTTCTCTCATTTTCAAAAATCTCTTAGTGTCTCTTCTGTGTTGTTCAATCAGACGGCTGTGCAGTTTGAACAGCCTCTTGACTGCCGCTGCTGAATAATGTTGTCCCTCTTGATTTCAATTAGCGGACCTCTTTACCTTCCAACCCCAATCACTCCATTTCCTCCTCCCTCCATCGCTCTCTTCTCCTCACTCTGCCTCACACAAGGTCACACCATTTCCTGTTTTATGTTTTCCGGGTTGTTGGTCTTTCCGGGCATATTTCTCTTATCCACTTCTCTAATTGATTAGAGGAGAAAACACTTGAGAAATTATACCTGTTCACTCTCAATCTGTCCATCCGTCTGTTTCACATTCACTCTCTCTGCCCCCCCGTCCCCCGTCCCCTCCCCACGAGGTGCCCTATCTGCTTTGACCTCTGTGTGATTGACATGGTAATTCCCCAATCAACAGATTGATGGCAGCGCTGTCACAATAGAGGGGATTGAAGTGGTCTCTCTTCCCTCCCCCTTCTCTCAGTTTCTCGTTCCTCTTGCTTCTTTTTCGGGCGCCTCCGTCCCTCTACTTTTCTCGTTATCACTCCATCAGGCGCAGTCATCCTCCCATTGCGCACTCTTTTGTTTGCTCGAGAGGCAAAGGAAGGATAGATTGAGCAAGGAGAGGATGACATGAGCTGGTACTGGGGGGGGGGGGGGGGTCTCTAATGTTGTTGCCATATTTCTGCTAAATGGCTCAGCTGGGGGGCGAGGTCATCAGATGGGGAGTGGGAGCTGACAGCATGAAAAAGAGAAGAGAAGGAATCAAAAAGAGAGATCAGGAAAATGAGAAGGAAATGAGAGGAGGTTTAGAGAGGACAAAAGAGGAGAAGAAGTGAGAGAAGTTGTGAGGAGCAAAAAGAGCAGAGAGGGTAAAGATCACTGCAGTGCTTTTGTCTGCTGTATTGCTTCCTCTCTAAAAGCCTGTCCAGAGAGACATTAGCCCCTCGCCGACAGGTGTGAGAGCGCCTGATTGTGTGAGAATGATGTATTGAGGCCAAAAGGCTTCATCACCTACAGTCTGCTGTCAGGAATTCAAAGGCCTGTATTGTTGCACAGGGTCACAGTGCTTGAATGGTGGGTCACAGGGTTAACGCCCCACGATGCACTCTCTTTTCTCTGCCCACACAATCTTGTACATGACTGACTGGATAGACCTGACATCTAACTCGCTCTCTCATCTCCTCCTGTGTGTGTGTGTGTGTGTGTGTGTGTGTCTGCAGCGAGGACCTGTCCGGAGCTCTAGAAGCAGCCAGCCGCTGTCTGAAGCTCTACAACAAAATGGTTCCAGTCCACGGCATCATGGTGGCTATGGTGGAGAAAGGAGACGCTGACCTGCTGCAGAAAGGTGACACATTTATACCCTCATCTTTTTGTCATCCCAAAAATATGGTGCTAAAACTTTTGGTTTATGTAAATTGTTGATGATTAACTTTAGTTTTTGAACACAAAGAATAGCTTTTAAAGGTCAAGCTTTTCTTGATTCACGTTTTTTGATTCAACATTTTTATATTTTCTCAGATTCTTTAGAACAGATTCCCTAGAATTAATCCAAAGTGCCCACGCTATGTTTGCATTAAACGTGCACGTAACAAGCGGCAACAATTCCAAGAGTGTGTAAGAGCAGCAGAGAGTGAGGGGGGGGGATCAGACGAGGTCGTAGTGAAGCACGTCGGACGTCATGTTTTGAGCGGTCTCCCTGTATGTCGACAGCAGCGTGGTGAAAAAGTTCAAGTTCAATGTGGTGCAAGTGGCTCTGGAGTGTGTAAAGGTTGAAACCGTGCAGTGGAGCACCTCTCCACCTCCTTTACTTTCATTTTACACACTCCCTCATACACCATTCCCTCCCACTTTTATCTCTGAACCCCCCAAAAGGTCACAGATCCTCAAAGTCAGGCGCTGCACCCTCAAAAACATGAAATTACTTTTACAATAGTCTGATAGAGGGAAACCAGTGCCCACTAACACGTGGATCGTGATATCAAATATGATTCTGGCTCTTACTCGCTCATATAAAGCAAGAGAGGGATGACTTAAACCTTGAAACACTCAACATCACAACTCTGTGAGTACGTGTTGAAATAAATCATGGGAAATAAAAACAGGAATGTATCAAAACCTGCAGACTTCCCTAAGAGTGGCCTTCTGCGGACCAAACAGATAATCTCGTCTCTCATTGTTCGACCTTGGTTGTAAATCGGAACATAAAATGTAGTTCTGCGACGTTCAGGCAACCATAGCAACAGCTCAACAACTAAAAAAAAATGAAAGGGTCATAATACAATACCTGCCTTTTAACATGGAGGTCAATGTAACGTCTACAGGAAGCTGGGATGTGGAGGACATGTTAATTGGTGCTATTAGGAGAGACACTACAAGTGAATAGGGTTCAAGTTGTAATGAATAGAAATGCCCATGAAACGTGCCCAGTCGATTCATTAAATTAAGACAATTATACTTTTCTATTACCTTTTATTGTTTCCTGAATATTTGCTATTTTGCACACACGTTTCCAAACTGAAATCTGAACATTGGATTCAGACGGGTTAAGAAAAAGGACAATTCTTTTTGTATTAAGATTTTTGAAAGTTACGTCGAAGTTGGTAAATGTCGGAGAAATCTCTAGACACAAATGGAAAAGGTGTAATTAAATAACCACCGTAATAAGCATTGCATGAAATGAGCCTTAATGAGCCAGTGAGTTTCAGTTTTCCACCAAAGCGTTGAATTAGGATTTGCTTGCAGAAAACGCTAGAATTTAAGTTCAGCTGGTTCAAACTACAAACTTTAATTTAGACCGTTGAATGGTTTTTAATAAATCCTGTTGACTTGAGGTGGTGTGTGTGTGTGTGTGTGTGTGTGTGTGTGTGTGTGTGTGTGTGTGTGTGTGTGTGTGTGTGTGTGTGTGTGGTGTGTGTGTGTGTGTGTGTGTGTGTGTGTGTGTGTGTGTGTGTGTGTGTGTGTGTGTGTGTGTGTGTGTGTGTGTGTGTGTGTGTGTGGTGTGTGTGTGTGTGTGTGTGTGTGTGTGTGTGTGTGTGTGTGTGTGTGTGTGTGTGTGTGTGGTGTTCAGCGTGCGTATGGTCCTGAGGCTGCTGGACAGAGATAGGACGTAACGCTGAGCAGAGCGCTTTAGCAAGTTTACCATTTAGAGCTTAGGCTTTCATTCGGGACCTGTTTGAGAGCAGACTTGATATGGCTGCTTTGTGCCTGGGACATTTTGCCAAATAATGGAATCAGGAGGAAAAGATGAAGTGTGTGTTTGTTCACCTTGCAGACGTTTTTTTTTTATTCACTGCCTTTCTCTGCTCTGTTTCCCCGTCCGTCTGCTTCTCTTTGTTTCCCTTCAGCCATGGAGTTTGCGAGTAACGAGCGAGGGGAGATGGCGATGATGTTCGATCTGTTCTTCGCTTTCCTGCAGACAGGCCGCTACCGCGAGGCCCGTAAGATCATTGAGGTAAACACACACAACACACGGGTGCTGCTTCTTCCTGAACAAACATACCCTGGTTTTAAAAAAGGACTTGGATAAAGGAGCTCCTTTCCAATCCATGTAGTTGATCACTGCTATGTTATACATTTGATCAGACAGTAAGTTGTGGGATTTGATATCTAGACCCCAAAGGTGGTGTGGAAAACTGTCAAGGACCAAAAGCTTTGTCAGATTATAATAGAGTCCTTACTTTAGTATTGTTACCATATCTAGATGTTGCAAATAAGAACCAACCAGGATTTACATCATTTCTTAGCGTGAGTCTTGGGTAGGGATGGGTACCGAGCCCCGGTATTAAACGGGCCCTGGGGCTGAATTATTAAAGACCGTGGTACCGTTAAGCTCCGACGTTATCTGTCTTTTTATCGGTACTGGAGACATCTAAAAATATATGTCATATATATTATACTACACACACACATTATATTCCAGTTTTAGTGTCGCCAACTCCGTTTCCAATACGCAAAATGACTACAAAATGCGTGCTGAGTCGGGCTGAGTATGCTAAACTAGAGAGAGCATCGCTGGCAAGGGGGCTACAACTACAACAAGATGGACATATTTGACCGTGATTTAATTGTAATACACGTTTCAAAATGATGCCGAAGTAACAACATACTGATACCGGTTAGTAAAAACCATGAATTAATGCTTTGTCAAGTCTGCAGACAGACGGCAGGGGAAAAACCTTTTAAAATGCGTGTTTTCTAAATGGAGATTGGCTAAGCTAACGCAGTATATGCTCCGACCGTCCACACTCACAACAACGGCCTATACAGACATAAATAAAGCAGCGACTGTATTCGCCATGACACAGGCAGTCTGTGGTTTGTACTTGTTTAACTTTTGTCTAGTTTCTGAACAGATATGAGGAGCTGTGAGCTCTGAGTGCTAACAGCTACGGCTGTGTTGTTTTTCTGGGGTTCTCATTGAAGATGACGTCACGGCTCCACCTACACTGCGTTACTATAGATACTACCCCAGTTCCTAAACTGTAATGGGAATGCGCCATGAAGTGAGCCAGTCCTAACGAGGCCTAGCCATACCGAGCCAGGCCGAGCGAGGCCGTGTAGTGGAAATGCGCCATAAGATTATTTTTAGTATTTTCGATCTCTCCAATCCAGACGCGAGATCTCTCTCTCCCCCGCCTGTGTGCGAGGGGGCGGGGCAGTTTACACACGCGGCTGCTACATGCAGCAACACACACACGGCGGGGATGGCGGAGAGAAAGCGCACCAAGGTGTGGTTAAACTACCCGTCTCGGTGTGGACAAAGCTTGTTACCAAAAGTGCAATAAGAGTTTATAAGAGCATGTAAGGGCGGTAACACGAGCAATTTGTCTAAACATTTAGCAAAAGTGCACCACATTCAGACGGAGAAATGCACCGGGTTCGACTGTCTTTCTAGTAGCTCTGGAGCCCCATCCACAAGTAACTTTTCCACGTCAGGTATTATGTATGCTAGCAGCATCATCCTGAGTTAACTCAATTATACAAACATGGGTTAATGATTAGAGGTAACTGAGTTATTTATTTTGTTAAAGTTTCAGCTATTCTGTTTACAGTTCTGTCTTCACATTATTTAATACGATTTGTTAAAACATTGTTGTTTCTTTTTATGTGAAATATTATTTATTTAATTGAAATAATAAGCAATGTTAATTTTTGTGCTTAGTTAATTTACCTTATTTTTTTCTCCAAAAGAACCGATAAGAATACCGTTAAAGGACCGGATCGATAAGCAGTATCGATAAAAGTAGTAGTACCGTTAAAACCTTAACGATACCCATCCCTAGGGGTGATTAAAGGCCCTGACACACCAGGCAGTCACCAGAGAACTCGCCGACACCGACAGTTCCATCGACGAGTTCTCCTGCGTCTTGGCCGTGTGTCGCACTGGAACACACCGCAAAGACTTCAGCGGAGCACGTACGAACTGCGCATGCGTGAGTGGCAATAACTCTCCTTACCAGCAGGCGGCGGTAGTGTGTATTCGTCATTCAAAATAGGCAACAACCGGAAGACAGAGAAGAAGAACAGACTGATATAAACAAACAAATAGCGTGTGCGTTCCATTTTCACTCTCGTCCATCGAAAACATGTTTTAGAATATAAAAATACATGAATGATGAAATGAGCACATAAAGTGCAGACATACTATAAAATCACAGTTAATAGACCTGCATCTGATGATCGCAGTGTTCTGGCGGGTGTGTAGTTTATTGAGTCAGCAATGTAATAATGGCCACTTCTTGCTAAATTTACATTTCCATGTGATGCTTTTATCCGAGGCGACTCACAATAGGTAAATGAACAGCAGTAGACAGTATCTCATTTACTTAGACACTGTACTTAAGGACAATGTTGAGGTACTTGAGACTAATCCTGCAACTTTATACTGACAAATAAACCGATGAGATGAAAAACCGGACTTGACCAAACAAATCACGGAGCTCTCAGCAGAGGACAGCCGGGGACGCTCCCGCCGATATCAGAGATGTCCCTGCTATGTGTGGGAGGTAAGAGAGGACATTTGGGCTATGTTTGATGTCTTTTAAGTATCACCTGCTGGTGTTTAGCTGCTGTCCTGTGCCTTTTTAAATCGTTTGTTTACGTCCCTCACTTCCGTTTCGCTTCTCATTTGCTAGCTGAACAGCTGATCAGAGTGGTTTCTTGGCCCGATAGCTTGTGTCCGTATTTTGGCCGATTCAACATGTTGAATCGGCCATGTGTCGACCGTGAAAGGCCAAATAAGGCGTGTCACGGCCGAGGGTTCGGGACACACCAAATTGACTTTGGGCGACAAGGAACGCGTTGTCGCCAGACAACCGAATACGGCCTGGTGTGTCAGGGCCTTTAGTCTTTAACCTCTTAAGCACGGCGGTCCCCCCCATTGGACCCCTCCCACCGTTTTTTTTTCGAGATAATGTCTCAGGGCTTCTTAACATTTATGAAACTATTAATGTGTAGCATTAACGGGAAGAATCTCAGCTAACTGAAGATATGAACCATTTTTACCAAAACAAAACACAAGTCTCATAAGAAGCGTCTAAATGACCCCTGAGCGAAAAAATTCTAACGCACTGCGGCACACAATTCAAGATAAAAATACCCTTATTACTTATCGTAGCTGCACATACAATATATCCGATTAAAGCTGAGACTCCACTGATTATTTAGGTATAGTATCATCACTGAGCGATCCGAACTTGCGACAGGGGAAGCAAACACAGACATCACAACACGTACCTTTACGGAGCTTTTACGGCAGATCGTCTCACCGTAGCTGTCAATTAGGTCAAAAGACGTTTTCAATGGCATTAAAACGAAAAAAAAAAATGCTACAACTGTTGATCCATAGGTTGATAATGTACCTGTGCCTTTGAAGAAATTATTTATAATCCATAATTCCATTTTTTATGTAAAAATCGGAGCGGAAAAGTTAGCTGCTAATGGTAGCCACCAGAGTGTATGCAGCTTCCGGTTTTGGTAACGCGTCACTCTCACTCCTTATTTGTTAACGTTTTGGTGTGTATATAACTTTCCCTCGATTCCATTGGCTCTAGCGGTTATAAAGAGATTTCATCAAAATCGAGCAAGGGGGGCCAGAGATAGGTCAAATCCACCCAAATGACCCCAGAAGTGGGGGTTTTTGGCTAAATATCTCTAAAAAGGTCAGATTTCACTTGTTTTGCATCAATCTTGATACAGGGTACTTATTATATGTTGTACTTTGGATTCCTAAAGCTTTTAGTCTACTAACCCATCATCCAAGGGTAGTTTTCACTATAAGTAACAAAGAATTTTTGGACGGACACTATAATTTACAGTTTTTTACTATGTAAAATCTGAATTTTCTTTAAATAAAAACATCTATATTGATTCTGACTTTTCTACATCCAACTCACAGGTTTATCATTACTTTGAGAATAAAGATTATTAATTTAACCCTTTTAGAAGGGAAGATATGGTCATTTGTTCTGGGAATGTCATTTTCGAGCCTGAGACCTGAAAAACAGGCTCAGGGCTTAAGAGGTTAAGGATGACTGATCATTTTATGAACAGAGTGATGATTTCCAGATTAAGTAATGAACCTATATGGGGCCTAATCTCACTTGTATGGAAACACATAAATGAACAGAACAGTGCTGTTTGTATTTGGTTTTACATCTTAATAGGGTCCTTTAGTAATGTTACCATATCTAGACGTTGAAAATAATAACCAACCTTGATTTATATTGTTTCTTGGCGTGAATCTTCACTGTTTTAGATAGTTTAGTCGGAGCAAAAAAAGCAAGACTGATCACTTTATGAACTGAATGAATGATTTTCAGCTTAAGTAATGAAGTAAAGGCCTGACTTCACATGTTTGGAAACTCGTACATGAACAGAAAAGTGGCGTTTGTATCTGATTTCCCTGGCTGCATTACATCTCAATATAAAATGCAATTCTTAATCTCAGAGGAGCTACCTGATTAAAAACAGTTGCATGAAAACCAGGATCACATCGGCACAACTGTCATGATCCACAGAGAACATGCATAATGTAAAAGCAATACTCTTATTGTTATTGTGGCGCATCTGACCTGAATATTTTATGAATATTTATATCTTTGTCATCTTAAATCTAGCTGTAAGCCCTGTAGATTAGTGTGAGGAAAAGGAGAGGGGCAACGCGGGCAGATAAGAAGCGATTTTCACGTGGATAAGGCAGGCGGTGGATAGCGGGACAGAGAGATCAAACAAATAGAGGGATGAGCTCTGACCTCAGAGGAAAGAGAAACAAGGCCATTATATTGTCCGATCAGGATGAGAGCAGAACGAAATACACCATAACTCCCTCTATCTGCTCTCTCTCGTGTCCTGGTGTGCACTAAAAAGAAGGATTTGTCCCTCTTGAGGATTTCCAAACCCTCTTAAATATTATCAACATGTTATTGTTCGGCTAGATTGTATTGCCGTTATCCTATTTATAACGGAGAGTAAGATACATGCCATTGATGTGTGAGATTGGTGAAGCCTTGTCAAACCACAGAGGTACATGTTGTCCCTGTTGTCAACGGGAGATGAATGTTGGAGAGACGATAAGCTGCTGGTTTCGGTTTGTTATTGACACGCAGGCTGACTTTAAACCTGCAGATCTCTTTTGATACAACATGGACGGGGCATTTTCAGACGTCAACAGACCAGGCTTTAAAATGTACATTAAAACATATCTAAGAATACAGTTTACTGCAGCGACTGTTTTTTATTTTACCCTTAAAAACATTCACATTTCCCAAATCATGAGCAACCCTTCCAGGTATTTCCCCTCTACATCATGGCCTCGCCCCTTTTTATGGGTGAAAATATCTGGTAAATACAAATGATGAAGTATTCCCCAATCCGATCAAAATGTAAGAAAACTGTGCTTTTTATAAATATGCATGGAGCCCAAACATGATGGTCAGTCAGGCAAACAATTAGACAATGTCCTTGGAGATCAATGATCGCGTAGATATATGTTGAAATTAAAAGCAATAGGGGATTGATGTTCTTTAAGTCTAACGGTGGACGTTAGACCAAAACTGGGGTTTCCTTGGCTTGTTCGTGTTTTATATTTGAATGAAGCATCTAAATTCATTACCTTGATTTGTACTGTTTACTTTGCTGATTGAAGTTAATCTCTTTAGCATCATCATTTAGCTGTGATGAAGTGATTCCCGCAGATGTACACATTGACTAACTGGAACCAAATGTTTATGCTGTTCAGTGTTTCCCACAGAATTTGATTCTATTTGTGGGGGAACCGCACCGCACGGCACCCCTCCCGGCAAGAAAAGCCAAAGGCCCCTTAACCTATTCGGGTGGCCCACGCATCCACCCCAACCCTCAAATAAGAAAATACATGCGAGTTCATGGCTACTGTAGCAGACAACGTTCTTGTTGCTCTGTGTTGCGTTGTTAATGAGTGAGACACACCGGAGTTGAGGATCTGTGGGGTTTATTCTCCCAAAAATACAATTTACAATTTAGGCATTTAGCAGACGCCTTATTCCAAAGCGACTTACAGTACAATGACCAACAGGGACATTCTCCCTGGAGTAACTGAGGGCTAAGTGCCTTACTCAAGGGCACACTAGTAGTGGTGTTCCAGGCAGGATTCGAACTCGCAACCTTCCGATCATCAGCCCACCTCACTATCCATTAGACCACCAAAATACATTTGTGGCGGACGATATTTAATTGTGGCAGCCCGCCACAAATAAATCAATGTATGGGAAACACTGCTGTTAATCCTCTCTGTGGATTACCTGAAGCCACAGATCTCTATTTTGACTGTTCTTTTTTCTAAGTAGAATAAAGAAGATCGTAATTCTTGATCTTTTTTGTTGTTTTCACTAGCTAGTCCCAGCCTTGTCTGTTTACTGTTTGCTGCTGAGCTAGTAAAGTCGGTGGGTGGTGCTGAAAACCAAAAAGAACCTGAAAGATGCTATATTCTTTGTGTAGAGCTGAGGTAAAGTTCAGAGTCTGTTGATTGCGTTTTTCAATGAGCGATATCTTTCATGTTACACATCTTTGTTAGTATGTTAATATTGACAAATTCAGCATTATAGCATGAACAGTTGAGTGTTGGTGAACTACTGTACCTGCATAGATGTTTTAGAAAAGAAAGCCTGTGCACAGAAAGTTCCTCCCTGAACTGTCATTTAAAGGGGGCCGATCATGCAAAATGCACTTTTGTACGTCTTTTATACATGAATATGTGTCCCCGGTGTTCCAGGGAACTCACCAAGTGTCAGAAAACACAACCCTCTCTATTTTCCTCCATACCCAAATCTCTAAAAAAGGGGCTGCAACGGATCTGATAAAAACTGATCCAGATGTGAACACTGTCCTGACGTCAGGACGGTGGCGCTACGGCTATTGGGCCAACTCCACCAATCAGGAGGAGACAGCCACGGCCATTGCCGTTCGAAAGCGCTGGAGACGCTGTAGTACATATGCCAGGCCTGTAGATGGTGCTGTTCTCACTGAATCTGCCCTTGCAAAAACAGGGATAAAAAAGTGCAAATTGAGCGAAATGAGGCATGGCTAAAATGCATGATCTGTTTGGTATTTTGAAAAAAAATAGTATAAATATGCCTTATATAGGTATGGTCCTACACTATATTATTCAAATATAGCATGATAGGTCCACTTTAAACTTGTATGACGACGAATATCTTGAAGAGGATATATAAAACAAGAGAATCATATCCATAACTCGAATATGCATACACACACTCGACACACAAATATTTGTATCCCCTCTGAGAGCGTCAAGTGGCTGTCCAGAGCGGTGTCTCTCGTTGGGCTCTGTTTGGTATAATTGGCAGCTGATTAATCACAGCTAATTAAATGTAATGATAGAGAAAGGTGGCCAATTTTGTGCTAAATGGTCAAGGTTAGGTAGAGGATTGTCAGGTGGCCGGGCCTATTATTGCGGCACACGCATGTGAGCGATGGTCAAGGTTAGGTAGTATTGCTAAAGAGTGGTGAGCCATTATGTGTTTTTGTGTTGGGGAGAGGGGTTTGGCGGTGTGTGTGTGTGTGGACTAAGTGGACAGGTGATTAGTGGAATTAGAACATTAGGAATTGAGATGGAGAGGGTTTGTTAAGTGGAGGTGGGAACAGGTCAGCTCTATCTATTTCTTTTTGTGTACGTGGATATGAAGATGAGAAAGGAAGCGTGTAAAGGCCACGCAAGACTCAAAGAGGCAGAGTGACGTGTGTGTGTGTGTGTGAGGATTGATAATCTGACCTGATGACATGTTTCCATTAAATCCTCCTGAAAGTGAGAGCGTCCGTGCTGTTGTTTTGTTTCTACTTTTCATTCTTTTGATCCAGCCGAGCGTGTTGTGCCTTCTTATTTCTGAGGATTAGTTTCCTGCACAGATTAGGGAGATTTGTCCTGACGGATTCAAAATCCCAAACATTTGTGTGTGTGTGTGTTCGAGTAGATGTGCTGCTTTGTGCCCGCAAGACTTTACCAAGTAAAGGGAATCGGAGGCAGAAAAAAAGATGGAGCTCTTGCCTTAGTCTCTAAGAAGATTAGACAGACTGAGAGAGAGAGAGAGAGTGCAACACATTTTAATTTGTCCCTTTGGCTGGCTGGGTAAGAACATAATGCCTTCGCCTGGGCCGGATAGAGAGGCAGGGGGCGAGGAGCGAATAGGAGCAGAGGAGATTTGCAGGAGGGAGGGATTGAGAGGAGAGGGGATTGGGAGAGGAAGGGATGGTCAGAGAAAGGGATGAAGCCCGTCTTTTCTTGACTCTCCACTTCCTCTCGCAGTATGATGGGCTCCCATCAAAGAGGCCAGCAGGGATTGAGCGCTGCTGATCCCCGTTCAGATTAACGTGCTGGCAGATCGCTCTGTCTCTCTTTTTCAGATTACCAGGAAGAGAGGGAGGGCGAGATTTCTCAATCCTAGTCTTATTCAGATTGTATCAAAGCCCCAAGAGACAGATGAGATCCTGATCACTGTTATTCCATGATAATAATCATCCAGTCAGTCCACGTATCAGGCTAAACCTGAGCTACACCAGCCTGCATATCAATCTATGTCAGCCCCTATTTGACACGCATACACTGTCTATCTGCATATTATTGGTAGCACTACAGAAGTACTACACGTCTCTTTATAATCTGTATATTTTAAACCTCATTTCTTTTTTTCTTTGTATTTTTAACCTGTTTGTGTGAATTGAGCAGTCTCTGTTTTCTCCTATTGTGTTTCCTACTACATTAAACATTGAATGATTACACTTTATTTTATTCTCCAAACCAAGAACAAAGCACAGTGTTAATCCATAATGAAAGATAAAATAAACCTCAAAATCAGAGGCGAAATTATAAGAAGGCCTTTCCATATGGATAAGCCTTCAAAAGTGATTGAAAGATATCAATAAAAAAAGGCTAACTTTAGAACTAAATCAAAGTAAAGTCAATGAAAGATATGCTGAGAAACCCTCATTGGATGACTAGTGACAACCATCTGATGTTTAATACGACATTGCTACTGTTTTTTTTTTCTACCGTCTATATATTTATCTACTTTATGTATTATTTTCTTAGACATTCTCATCTGTTTTTCCTCTCTGTAGACCCCTGGGCTGAGGGCAAGGACTACGCGCATAAGCTGGTTTGCAGCGAAATGTATAAACTCCAACCAGGTAACCACACTCACACTCACACACACACACACACAGGCTGAACTATTCAAGGCCGTAAAGAAAAATGCAAAAAGTGAAAGTGCAAAGTAGAAAATTGGAATTGGAAATGATATATTGTGTTTGGTTGTATAGATTGAGCCCTTGGAGCAGATGGTGGGCATGACGGAGAAACTGTTTGACTGCGACAGAGACGAGATGTACAGTTACCTCCTCAAACATTACGGTAAGTCCCATTTGTCTGTGAGTGGTTTCTATTAAATTTCGTTCAATTTGCAAACTGCCCTAATCTCCTCCGCTGCCTTGACCTTCTACCTCTTTGTGTGTGTGTGTGTGTGTGATATCAGTCATAAGTAAGTAAGACATGGTGTGATTGCTGCAGTGGAGAGCAGAGCAGATGACAGTTGTGATTGGAGTGTTAAAGCTGATTGTCGATCCATTACTCCCACACACACACACACACACACACACACACACGCACACCTTCTAGTTGGTGTGTTTCCTAAATTACAGCATAGTTGAGGGCCAGTCAGTTGATCAGATTAGTGCTTTGATTGCTCACTCTCAGCATGTAGTGCTTTGTCTGAAAATACTCTATGGTGCAGGCCGAGTGATGAGCGGTATGGGCCGACTATGTCAGAAACGTTTTTATTACAAAGTAGTTTTACACATGATGAATTTGCTTTGGTGTAAATGATGCATACAAAGACGGAGAAAGGAGAATATGTAATTTAAAAAAGGGTGAGAGTCGGTGTCGGTGGGGTTCCCAGGCCTTGTTGATGAGGTCGGTAGCAGAAACTGTTGAAGTGGAGAGAGGTGGACGATCATGAGAAACACACCTTTTCTTAATCTCGCTGCTTTGTTTTTTGCAGAGGTAACAAACGAGTGGCAGAAAGCAGTAGCACTTTGGACGAAGATGCAGGAGGAGAACCTCATCCCCAGAGATGGGACCCTGCTCCTTCTGGCCAAAATCCTGAAGAAAAACGGCCAGGAGGTGCCCTTCGATGTGTCCACGGTAAAACCAAAGCTCTATTAGGGCTGCTCGATTATGGCAAAAATCATCATCTCCATTAATTGGGTCAATAATTGATATCACGATTATCCATTTACTTTGAAAACATCCATTTATTGAAGAAAAAAAAAAATGTATACAATATGTTTTTAACAGTTGAACCTGAACCCTGAACTTTAAAGGTGGGGTAGGTAAGTTTGAGAAACCGGCTCGAGATACACTTTTTGTTATATTCCATGGAATGCTCTTAACATCCCGATAGCAATGAATATCTTAAGTGCTTTGACAAAAAATCCATAAAAAATATGTCATCTGTGGAAGCCGTAATACTGTAAAAAGCACGACCAATCATTTTAGCCGGCCCGGCTAAAGTAACTGGATGGCCTACCTGCCTGTCAGCCTTCCATCTGTGCACAAACTTATCTCGTGCCCTCATTGGTCATGTGCGTGTTCGTGTGTGTTGGAGGAGGGGCTCTGTAAGGAAGTGGCAGATTTTCTCCGGTTGTGTATTTTCAAATTCTACGCACTCGAGCTGGTTTCTCCGAAATTACCTACCCCACCTTTAAGTATAATTCAACTGAAAAACCAAAAAAAATAATAATAAAACCCGTTTTATTTAGATTATGTTGTTTTCATAATCGTTGCAGGCCAAAATCGTAATTGCGATTTAAATTACGATTTAATTGAGCAGCCCTAAGCTCTATAATGTGCACAGCCCAGTCTCGCTCATTAGACAGATGTGTTATTCTGAAGAATAATTGCCCAGAGGTTCCTGAGGGGGAGATAAAGCTGGAAGTAAAGGCCAGGAGATTCCCCAGAGCTCTGGAGGACTCTCAAAAGTGCCCGAGGTCAAACGCAACACAGAGGCATGCAGCTCTGATGGTTGAGCACAAATCACAACGGTGCAGACATTTCTGTCCCTGCATATTAAAAGATGGTTGGAGGTACCCATTGTTATCTTATGTGTCCTTAAATATTCTATTAATATTTTAGGTCGTTTATCAAGAAACAATAGGCAAAGAATAATCTCCCTTTCCAGCTTCTTAAGATGAATAATTTTCACTTACGGTTTTCTTTACCATTGTAAATTGCATTTTTATAGCTTTTTATTGTAAGATAAAAATATGATGGATGTCACTGCAGGCTCTGGAAGCTTGTGATTTACAATTTGTCTGACATTATATATTCTATAAATAGATAACAGTGCAATATTATCTTGGTAATAGAATTGTGGTGCTTGAGTAATAAACTACAGCTCATTTGGAGGAAGTACATCACGTCATTCCCAAAAAACAAACAACCTCAGGACACAGAAAGAAGTACTTTAAATAGAAATTAAACAATGAAAACACGAGACGGATGTTATCAAGACTTGCATTAGAATCGACAACGTTAGTATGTAAAGGATTTGGACAAACACTTGATCATTGGGTGGGCAATACAGTGGCAGAGCTTGTCAAATTTCTATTTCTGATTTATTGCATTTCATATACTAATACTATTATGTATTACAACAGGCAGAGATTTCTTATTTTAAGGGCTTTTTTCCCGTTGTTTTGAATTAAAGGTGGGGTAGGTAAGTTTGAGAAACCGGCTCGAGACACACTTTTTGTTATATTCCATGGAATGCTCTTAACATCCCGATAGCAATGAATATCTTAAGTGCTTTGACAAAAAAATCCATTAAAAAATGTCATCTGTGGAAGCCGTAGTACTGTAAAAAGCACGACCAATCATTTTAGCCGGCCTACCTGCCTGTCAGCCTTCCATCTGTGCACAAACTTATCTCGTGCCCTCATTGGTCATGTGCGCGTTCGTGTGTGTTGGAGGAGGGGCTCTGTAAGGAAGTGGCAGATTTTCTCCGGTTGTGTATTTTCAAATTCTAGTGCACTCGAGCCGGTTTCTCAAACTTACCTACCCCACCTTTAATGCAGCGATTTTCTTGTATTATGTCATACAAAGGTTAAAAGCTGTTTTAACATTGTTAACATTTTAAATAAAATATTGTAGAGAAGCAATAATAGTTTTACAATAATAAATAACTGAAATATATTCAGTAAATTAACTATAAATGCTTAGTATTAGTCTTCACAGGAGTAATGAAGTTCTGGCATATACTGTATTTTGTCCTTCACTGATATAGCGAGGAGCTTCATCCGAGCCGATGAGTATTTAGTATTTATTTAAACTCAAGCTGCTCTCTCATTTAAAACACAATGTTCCCACCCTGAATTATATCCATACTGCTCAGATTAACCAAAGAGCAAACTCTGATCATCGGAGCTAACCCCAAAACCCCCCCCCCCCCCCCGGTCCTCACCCCGCTCCACTTTAAGCCTCTGTTCATTACATGCAGAGGAAACAGGATTGAGGCTCTGATCTGAAGTGTGGTCAATCAGAGCGGCTGGCTGCGGACGGGAATTACAGCCTGATCTGTCTGTAAATCGGTAATGCCAGACTAATTTAGCCAGCAGCTAAATGCCACCATATGGCTGCCGCTGGATCCTAGTTACATCCAGTTGGCCTGGATTCTGACTAAAAGACAAACTGTGGATTAATGCATTTGAATAAAAGAGGGGAGTTTAGCCTCAAATACAGAGGTGGGAGAAGTACTCAGATCTTGTACTTATGTAGAAGTACCAGAGTGTAGGAATACTCTGTTACAAGTAAAAAGCCTGCATTCAAAATGTTACTCAGTTCAAAGTAGAAAAGTATTAGCATCAAAATATACTTAAAGTACCAAAAGTAAAAGTACTCTGGCCCATTTCAGAATTGTATATATTATACGTTTTGATTTTAATTATTGATGTATTAGAGTGTTATCAAAGCTGGTAAAAGTGCAGCTTGTGAATATGTAACTAAAGTCTTATTTAAGTGAATTTTATATTTCACATCACCAATCCAAATCTGTAAAGTAACTAAAGGTATGAAATGAATGCAATGCAGTAAATGTACACCATTTACCTCTGAATTGTAGTGGGGTAGAAGTACAAAGCAGCAACCATTTTAAATACTCAAGTGAAGCTCAAGTCTCTCAAAAGGAAGTACAGTACTTGAGTAAATGTACTCGCACACCACTGCTTAAATAATAAATCCTAGTGAGCTCTGTTGCTGCGTTTTTCCTCAGCGTTGGTCTGCGTGCTCTTACAGCCCGGAGCGTGATGAGAGAGGAAGTGATTGCTGTTGCCTGGAGCGATGAACTTAGTGACCCCTGGGGCCCTGGAGTTGACACCCCCGCTCCAACACACACACTCTAACGCACACACACTTTTATTTTTTGCCCCTGAGGTGCCATATCTAATTTGCCCCTAGCCAATACAGCTTAACCCCCTCCCCTCGTTGCTTCACGGGTGAACGAGCATTAGGGGACCCTGCCCTGCCCGCCATTATTGCACTGTCATACACACACTGAACATGGTTAATATGTGTGTGTGTGTGTACAGGCTCGAATGCTGGATGTTATTTTATGGAAGCATCAGACTGAGTTTTATTTGTGTGTTTTTAACAGATGTGGTACCAAGAAGAAGAAGCCCCAGCCGAGGTCAAAAGAGAGGCACCCACGCCCAAAATAGAGGCACCCACGCCCAAAATAGAGGCACCCAAGCCCAAAGTGGAAGAAGGCCCAAGCTCTAAAGACCCAAGCTTTCAAAGCCCTATCATTGCCCTCTGTAAGAAGAACAGAGCCCAAGGTGAGCAGCAGGAGGTCCCGTGTTGTTGTCAGACATGATATGAACCAAACATACTGTATAATGCACTGGGGGGGAAACTTGAATCATCTGAGGTGTGCAAAGGTTACTTTTGAAGCTGCGTTAAAGCAATGTTTGAGCATTAGGAGGTAGGGCTGTGCAATTAATCGCAATTACGATTTTGGCCTGCCACAATTACGAAAACAACATAATCGTAAAAAACGATTATTTTACTTTGCTTGGTTGTGACCGTGCACTGCAACATATTGGATCTAATTTATTTTAGTCTAATTTATTTGTATTTATCATATTTACATATGTTTAGTAGCTTGTTGAAGTGCGCTCCAAAATATTTGTTGATCTTGTTTATTGGTATTTATTATTTTTGATATTATTTATTTAAATGTAAATGTATCATTTAATTTATTTTTGTATTGGTTTTTCAGTTGAATTATACGTTCAGGGTAATCAACAGTTAAAAAGATACTGTTCAAATTATTATTTGTATTTGTTTTAAAGTTCAATAAATGGATTTTTTCAAAGTCAACGAATAATCGTATTTAATAATCGTGATATCAATTATTGACCAAAAATAATCGTGATTATGATTTTTGCCATAATCGCACAGCCCTATTAGGAGGCATATAGTTTAAAGTGCAACAGCCCCTGATTGACTTTTTTGCTTCAGATCTGCATTAATCAATCGATTGATGGACAATATGACATTTAGATAATTTAATTTAGAAATGAATCACTAAATGAAATGTTCTTTGTAAAAGCAGACTCCTGTTTTTCCCCCTCGACTCATGTGTCTTTCCTCTTGTCTCTTTCTACAGAAGCCTTAAAGATGTTTAAGGAAGCCAAGGATTCGCCATTTAACGCCAAATCATTCAATCTACTGATCTGCGTGCTGCTGTCCGAGGGGTCCATTAAAGACGCCATGGCAGTCAAAGACATGTAAGTGCCTAATCATCTATCTATATGTCATCTCATTCTGCAACGACACATTTTGGTAAAGCTTTACTAAACCATAAACAAAAGGTTTATTTCAACGTCTTCTTTAATAGCAGGCATATATGTTAGTATAATCCAACAATTGTGACTCCAGTTTGAACACCCATTTTTGCACGAGACGTGTATTTTTTTTCTTTCAATCTTTTTTGACAATTGGTTAATCTATTAGCCGTTTCATAGTTGCAGCTCCTTGACGATCAGTGTTATTTTTTTGCCTTTTGTCCCGGTATTTAGTATCTAGTTGAATGAGCCCAAGCATTTGTAAGTGTACTTTGTTGGTTGAGATCATCACGAATCAAAAGACGGACTGTACACTGGTGTATTTTAGCTGTAGGCACAATGTAGGTGCCGTTAGTGCTCTGCTACGTTCTCCGTCTCTTCAGCCTGTGGCACCGGGTCACCTCGGGCTAAAAATCTCCTCAATAGACACGAGGATTATCAAGTGATTGTGTGCTGACACTCAGCCCTGCTGGATATGAACAGTTGTTCTTACTAAGCCCCAAGATACACACACGCTCCGGTGTACAGATTAATTTTGCTTTTCTGGGAAGCGGGTGACTTTGTGCACAAACATCAATCTTCTTCCAATTAGTAATGTATCGTGTGTTGTTGTGTGCGGGGCCATATCAGGGCCTGGAGACAAATGGACGCACAGACAGAGTATTAGAGATCTGGGGCCTCATTTATAAAGGGATATACGCTCAAAAAATGGCGTACGCCAGTTTCTACGCAATGTTTGCGATTTATAAAATACTAATTTGACCGGAAAAGGTGCGGTCCTCCACGCAAACTCTAACCCATGCGTACGCACGAAGCACACACACGGGAGAGACGAGAAACTGCGACACCGTTGGCAGAAGGAAGAATGGAGAGAAATATGTGGAAATAATACCATAAATAAAATGTTACCTCTCATTTATCAAATATGAAGAATTCATTTTCAAACATTGATTAAAGCCAATCTTAAAATGATTAAACAAACGCCTGTTTGAGACTCCTCAGTGCACACAAAAACATAACTTGGAGAAATAAATAAATACGGATATGCTATTTAAAACCACCTCGAATATGTTGTGTTAATGTTATGAAATGTTTTCTCATAAATGATGCGGTAAACAGGAGGACAGAATTACGTCTAAACTGACGCCGTTTTGCATTTCTATAGGTTGTAGATACGAGCATGGTTTTATATACTATCACGTTTAATCGTGTTTTATGCCGTTTGCCAAGACTTGATAAGTCGCTCGTAAAACACAGGAGGTATGGAAACTAAGAACACCATATGTGGTAAATTGTACAGCTAATATAACACAATCCATTAGTTGTATTTCCTTTAACTGGTGGATTATGGATATATAGTTGCTGATCGACAGCTGGAACACAAACCACCAAATACAACAAAATAATTCAGATCCAGTCGTCATGACTACACTCCGGAGGGATTCCCCGATCATTTCTTACAGTTTCTCATCAAGGGGGTGTCTCCTGTCCCCGGGACAAACACACTGCCTGAGGAAGGTTATGTGTATTTTTTTTGTCATTAACTTTTTTCGGACCACTTTATTTATTTTGGTGACGATCCGACCTCCATGCTGCTACTCTGGTTCAAACTGCATCCACCAAACAATATGATTTATCTCGACCTCCCCAAAATATCCAAAATCTGACACGGTGTGAGATGTCTTTTTTTAGCTGTTCGGGCGTAATTTCCTGCGATCTTCTTCATGCAGTCAGTCAAAATGAATGAATGAATGGGCGTTTCTTTGACTATTTATAGGCAAATATGGGCGTTACGAGTCGATTGTGATTTCTAAAGGGAAACAGGCGTAGGGAGTGCCGTACGCACTTCCCTCGCCGGTACGCAATGTTTTGTGAATCGGAAAATGTCGGAACATTTCTGCTTTGTACTACGTAAGCAACCTTCCCACGTCAATCCTTCGCAAGGCGTTATAAATGAGGCCCCTGAGCTTACTGCTGATCTTTACTGTTTGTCCCTTTAGGTCAGCTTTTTGACCCTTTTCTTTATATCACTTTCACGTTACAAAGAAAAAAACACACAAGCAACGTGTTGAAATAAGAGATAATAATAAAATGACACTGATAGAAGAGATGCCGTTAATCATTTGTAGGAAAGATTTGGTGTGTAAAAACATCCATTACACTATCGGTCTCTTCCCTGTTTTCGGCTCTCTACATGATTCACTCTCTCATGTTTGAGAAATAATCGTATCAATTGTAGACCCCTGTTTGAACAAGAGCGAGGCAATACAAGTGATAACCCATCTCCAGTCTTTGATTTGGTTTATGGCATCCCTGCCTGGATAAAAGCTGCGTTTATCTGCACTCTAAATGAGAAGTGAAATGAGCTGAGTGAAGAGTCGGGAAGGATGGAAGTGGGCAGGGGAGGAAGGAGATAAAGGGGGAGTGAAGGAGGCGAGGAGGGCTAGATTTAATCACGTACGAGGTTAATGAAGACGCTATAGGCATTAATTCTGTGTGTGTGTGTGTTTTTGGGTAATCTGTACAGAATTGAGCAGCGGGGTGCTTATGGTGAGATTAAGGGATTGGGTGAGAGTGATAATGAGAGAAAGAGGAAGGGGTGGATGTTTCATTGGTTAACGCACAAACCCCCAACACATTTTTACAATCTGTTAACAGTACCTGCTCATTTCTATGGTCACTTTAAAAAAAAAAAAACTGCTACTTAGTTTTTCTGACATTGTGTTCTTGTAGTATTAATAGCGTGTGCCTACTTGTTTATTTCATATTTAAGTCTATTCTTTATTCTTTATCTGCACTACACTTCTGCTGTTATATCATAATACTGGAAAATGTCCCTGTAGCGGAACAAGACACTGACCCTGAAAGAGAAGTCGAGTGAGAGTGTGTGTTGGGAAAAGGTGAGATTTCCTCCCTACCAATAAGGATATTTCTGACCCCACTTCTCGGTCTCCTCGGCAATCCGTCGTCGACCCCTTTCCCGCTCAAATCTCCGCCCTGACCCCGCCGGATGCTGCTTGGCCCAGTGTCGCCGTGGTGATAAGGATTGCCCGACTGATGCTCAATTGAGCGGGCGGATTAATCTGGTTGCAGGGATATATTAACAAATAAAATCAAAGGATGAGAGGCAAGCTTAATTGAGGTTTTAGCGGCTGAGAAATGAAAAGGGAGGAGGGTGGCAAAGGTCGGCGAGTAGATGGAGGGGGAAGAAGACGGGTTGTCCCAGCCTCTCACATCATTCGTGGAGTGGCTCAGGAGGAAGTAATCAACTGTTTGATGTCTGTATTATTTTCAGGGTTAGGCGCTTTTACAAGAGGCTCAGACATGCTTTCAGTCATATTTGTTCCCATTGTCTTCTAGCTTTCAGCTCCTGTGTTCATCCACTCTTTCTCTGTGGAGTCTGTTCGTGATGCCTTTAAAACAGCCAAAGTTAAGAAGACAAAAACACCACAGAGATTAAACCCAAACCATCACAGATAGTGAAGATGTTTTTTATATAATAGTGTACATTATCAGCTCTAAGAAAACAATGGACTTTCTTTGTGCAATCCACACAGGTAGGATCTTTGTGTCTCCATTGAAACACTTTACACAGTACTTCACAGATAACATAGTTTTAACCCAGAAGTGATCATCACCCTGGATCCCTCGACCAAAAGCCAATGGGATCTTCCATTATATTTTAAATCAAATACATTTTCAGACTTGTCAGGTCTGTAAGTAAAGTTAAAGAGGCTACAACCAGAATATTAACATCCTTTTCATCTCTTTTTCAGTGCTACATCTCGTATACCAGAGTTCCAGATGAGTCATGCTGCCAACGACCTGTACATCATCACTACCACCATGAAAGGCCAGGCTAATGGTGAGAAACACACAAAAACCAGTACACACACACACACACACACACACACACACACACACACACACACTTGTTCAAACACATAAACTGACCTCACACTGGTCCACAGATGCTCTGGAGAGAATGAAGCGGGCTGACCATATGCCCTCAAAGCTCGCCCTCACCAGGCTGGTTCAGGCGCTCGGCAACAGCGGCAACGTGTCGGGGATCCAGGAAGTGGAGGAGCTGATAAAAGACAAGGTGGTCAACCTGCCCACCATGCCTGTTGTCACCCGCACAGCGATTGCACACATCAAGAGGTGAGCATGCTAATTATTTATAGATAGATAGATAGATAGAATCGGTGGGATGAAACCCTCTTTTAACGGTCACACATGCAGAGCACACAGTGACATGTGTTCTCTGCTTTTAACCCATCCTAGTACCAGGAGTCTAGTGCTCGGAGCAGTGGGCAGCTATTGTACAGCGCCCGGGGAGCAATGGGAGTGGGGTGGGGTGTCCGGTGCCTTGCTCAAGGGCACCGCGGCAGGGCAGGAGGTGAACTGGGACCTCTCCAAGTAGCAGTCCACACTCAATATTTAGGTCTGGTCAGGGACTTGAACCGGCGACCCTACGGCTCACAGTCCAAGCCCCTACTGACTGAGCCACTGCCGGATTGATTTTGATCTGAAGAGGTACCAGAATGTGCAGAATGTTTTATTTCTGACTGCCAATTTCCTCATTTTTGTACAAAAACTTGACTATTCAAGTGCCTGGAAAATCCTATAATCCCCTAAAAGTCTACACAAAGGAGCTTTAATTTAGGACTTTTGTAATGTATGAGGCAAATGCAGCTTTTCAGGTATTTCCCCTAAATCTGATGTTTCCAGAGAAATTGTCTTTTTTCACCTGTATCTCTAATTCTCACCAATCATGTGCTGTAAAATAAACGGCAAACAACCTTCAAACCAAAACAAATCACTATAGATGGGCAGGGCTGAATGTTGCATAAAACATTATAATTTCAATGTACAATCCATTGTAAAGTCCATTATACCACTTTGTAAACTCCATGTGTAGCACACAAAAGATAAAGAGCTTCTTGCAACACCAGGAGCCGAGTGTGACAAGACCCGTGTTGACACACTCTTAAAGTAAAAGCTCACAGGCGAGTGGGGCGTCGAGTACAAATAGGAAACACCGGCATAATAGGATTATTCATGGGTTCCTTTTAATGTCATGGAATTGCCCATCCTCCACTTCTGCTTCTCAAACAACAGAGGACAAATATATGAAACGCATGGAGCATCAAACTTTCATCGCGCTACTCGCCGCATTAGCGCTGTCCCCCGGCCGGAGCGGCAACGTTGCCGTGCCGACTCGCAGGGACAGCAGGAAGGGAAGAGCGGCAAGACAGTCTCACGCCCGATTGGGGCCTGTCGGCTTGAACCCTGACCTCTCGGGCGGCGCTCTGAGCGGCTCTGACACGTCCCCGCTGCGTCTGAGTCGAGCTGACTGGTTAAGAGCCGGGGCGGAAAAAGCAAAGCAGGCCCGGAAAGCGCGGCGCCACATTTAGAGGGGGCCCCCGCTGAATTATTCAGACGGTCCCAGTCGCAACAATCAGCGTAGATATGTTCCCCCACCTCTGCATGCATACACACACGGAGACGCACACACACCCTGCGAGTTAAATATTCATCACGACTGCTGACGGTGGGAGGGAGCGTAAAGTGTTGGGTTGCCAGATCGAGTTGTTTTAGATTTGTAGCGCTTTGCTGTGCAGGCTTTGTTTGCTTGTGGCAACCTCAGCAGAAAAACATGGTGGTAGGAGAAAAATGAAACCCATATGATTTTAATATTTAATTTCTTAAGTCTAAAACAGCATGGCGGGGGGGGGGGGGGGGAGTTTTTATTGTTCTCTAATCAGGCCAGTTTCTCATAATGTATGTGAAGCATATGTTCCCTCCCCGCGGGTCAAAGAGATCAGTGTTTGTTTTTTCTCCCAGCAGAGTATCTGTAGTAAGGAAGGCAGTATAGGGAATGTTGTATCTCACAATTTACATACAGAAGCATCCAGAATATGCCTTTACGTAACAAGGATGCAGAGGTTGCGTGATAGAAGGATGTGAACCACAAAAAGACCCTGCTCACCACCTAGTTGAATTTTAACATGACGTAAACCCCACCATAGTTACAGTGCAGCGGCATTTGACTTTGCAGGAACATTCGCTGTCAGGTTTCTCCTATTTCTGTTTTGAACGGACATTTTCCTAGGTGTAGTTTTGAACTATTCTTACTAAACCAACCCTTTATCCCCTTTCCCCTCCTCAGTGGTGATGTGGAAGGTGCAACAGAGGTGTTGGAGGCCTTCTACACCAATCCAGACTGCGAGAGCCAGCCACAGGGCATGCCCTACGTCTTCAATATGGTACTGGAAGATAACAATGAGGAAGCGTTGGACAAATGTAAGAAACACACACTTACTTACGCATACTTGTATATCGAAAAAATACATACAATATAAAACCACAAGCATAATAACTGTAAGAATGATGCAATCCACATTATTATTGACACAATGTGCATGCTGTGTTGCAGTGAGTGCTATGGCAGAGCGGCTAGCCAATCAATTCGCCCGCTACCAACCGGTGTCAGACCTCTTTCTGGAGCTGCTGGACGCCGACAAAGTGGAGGACGCCAAGTTCATGCTGGCTGTGAGTACAAGTGTGTGTGTGTGTGTGTGTGTGTGTGTGTGTGTGTGTGTGTGTGTGTGTGTGGTTGCGAGTGTTTGTGTCTGTGTGTGCCCCAAAGTTTTCATCATGTAATTTGACCGAGGTGGTATCAGTGTTGAAGTTTTTTTTTTTAAGATTCAGTATTTTATATTCATATGTTTCGTTACTGCTAGGTTTGGGTTGGCAAAGCTACAGTGTGTTTCAGAGTGTGTGTGTGTGTGTATGAGTTGTTTGGATGTATTTGGTTGTGTCTGAGATGAGTTACACTTCGATCAATACTAGAGGGAAATTAAACATCATTCATGCAAATGCATTAAAGTACATTACAGGCTGCTCTCACTCACTTCTCTTCATTACTATTTAAACACTAAGTGAAGAAATCCATGGTTTCCAGGTCAGAATGTTTCATATCACACACATGTGTTTATAACTCTTCATTTTGTCTTTGTGCAAATAGGAGATAAGGGTTACCTCTAAATAGATCAAAATGTGTGATTGTGACCCAAAAAAAGCACCATTTATACATCTCTTCTTCTCCACCAAACACATGCATCTGCTAAAGTGAAAACTGGAGTTGTGTTTGAGAAACCAAAATGCAGGAACTACTTTTTTATTATTTAGTTTGGAGTTGCACAGCATGAGGAGAGAGCTCTGCAAAATGTTGTTTTTCACTTTTTGTGACCACTTCAACTACATTTTGAATCATGTGGAGCATTTTGTCCCAGGGCACATCTCCATTTGAGTGTCTCGCTCTTGACTACATTATTACATCAAAGTAATTAAAATCCTCACGAAAAACCCACAAATCAACAAGCGAAGTGGAGATGAATGGAGTCCATCACAACCCCCCCATGTATTCGTCCAGTTGTCAGTTGTTGACTTATTCATCCAGCCTCACATTATGTCAGGAAGTGCTTCCCCACTCCACCATAGAGTCTGCTGGTCTGAAATTGGCCTCCTACTGCTTCACTTATTTAACACAGTTCATACATTACAGCTCGATGACTTTGCATTGAGCCCGGGGACATGAATATGTATAAGCTGGATGAGTGAGAGACAGGAGGAAGGATGAGAAAGAGATCAAACTCTTAAAAAAAAAAAATGTAGACTCCTGTGTCCTCTCTGAAAGGATTTCACTCTCACTTTGAGTGATTACTCGTCTCGGTTGCATGTGTGACTAGAGCGCACACTAATGAACACAGATATATATTACTAACCGCCTCACTTACTCCACTTCATCTCTTTTTAAACACGAATGAAAGGAATCTGTTTTTCAGGTCGTACAATGTTCTTGTCACACTAATCTTAGTGGCTCTGATCTTCACCCTGACATGCATTTACTATTTGTTTGTGACATATTAAATCCCTTCTGTAAAGTGTAATGTCACTGCGAAAGTAGGTGTTTAATTTTAAACAAGCAGGAGATGGGCTACTCTATCAGTTACATTTCAGTATTTGACCCCAGTCTTTGGGCCTTCTTCTTCCCCCTGGCCCTCTTATGGTGCATTTCCACTACAGCGCGGTTTAAGCGTGCACAATGCACACAAACTCATCACAGATTATATCGCGGTATTTGAAATCATGTACGCAGCTCGCGACGTAACTAGGAGTCTAGTGGACGGTATCAGTACTACAAGTAAAGTACTTTTTTTTTTAATTACGTTGTTTATAAATTAATCTGAGGTCTGCAAAAAGAGGAGGTGGTGCCCATCCCTGTTGTATATGCTCCGACTGTCCACACTCACAACAACGGCCTATACAGACATAAATAAAGCAGCGACTGTATTCGACACAGACAGTCTGTGGTTTGTACTTGTTTAACTTTTGTCTAGTTTCTGAACAGATATGAGGAGCTGTGAGCTCTGAGGCTAACAGCTGATGTTGGTTTTGTGTTTCGCATTGAAGACGTCACGGCTCCGCCTACACTGCGTTACTATAGTTACTACCCCAGTTCCTAAACTGTAATGGAAACGCAGCATAAAGTGAGCCTGGCCTACCAAGACCTAACTATACCGTACTAAGCCCTGTGAGGCCCTGCAGTGGAAATGCGCTATTGGTTAACTTGCTTAGTTTAAGTGAATTCCTGGATGCCTAGGGGATCATTAGTATGTTATTTAATGCTTAACACTCTGGAGTTAAGTCAACAGCAATTGAGCCAAGTTTAATATATTCAGACAACAGCAAATTCATAAAAACGTCTGTGCTATGTAGGAATTTATTTGATTCTGACTCAAGGAGAGTGAAAAACTGAGAGATTCTCCCTGTATCTCTGAACTATCTCACTAAACCAATCACACACACTAAAGCTATTCTATATACTGTATATATTTATATGTTATCACCTCCATTTACAGAGTCTCCCCTGAAATAGTTTGAGGCCCTTCTTGCACTTTGAAAGCCTCTCATGTATTGCCCTACACATGCAACGGCTCCTCTGGACTTGCAGTGAGGGAACTTAAAGACACAGAGAAACAGAAAGTGTCAGAGATGAGACGTGTCTGCTCCTTGTCTCTCCCTGACATCTTGAGTGATTATCCCTCTCAATCTTTAAACAGGGATGCCTGACTAGCATGCATGTTAATGAACAGATACATTACTTGCTGCTCTCATCTTCATCACTATTTAAACTCTATGGATAACATGATTTTAAAGCTATAATATGCTTCTTGCTTGATATGCATCCTCGTTTTTAAGAGAACAAGATGTCATTTTTTTATATCTGTTAACTGTAAAATACAGACTGAGTAGAGACCGAAAGAGGAACGTTTAAATCCGATGTCTATCATAGCAATATGAAAAGTCTACAGTTCCTCGTTGCAAGTCTTCATGTATAGTTAAAAGTGCTTTACACACATTTAAACTCTGAAAGGAGTCTGAATGAAACTTTAGGTTGATTTAAAAAGTGTGAACATGTGTATATACATCTAAAGAAAATACTGTCAAATGTAAATGTGATTACAAATAAATAGAAGTAGCAACATTAGAAGGCAGCACAAAATAATAGCCTGCTTTTTAAAGACAGGGGGTGTTTCTCAATGTCGAGGACGCTTCCTTGGTAGGACATGTCTTCCGAGTCAGGTCCTTCAGAAGCGAGGCAAGAATCCTTCCTAGCCTTGGAAAACGAAGAATGGTGGAACAGGCTAACAGGTGTGCGTCATATGCGAGGCCCCGCCTTAAATGGAGCGATTTTGGAAATTGGTCCGTGCGCAAAGCATTGTGGGGATTTTTAAGACCGCGGAGGATACACATGTGCAAAAATGTGCGAAATTTCCCTCAACGAAGTACGCCGGCCTCGGTAGAATTCCAAGGATCCTGGACATTGGAACAGTCCTTCGGCGGGACTCGATGACGTAGCACCCTTGAAATAGTGGATCTGGAGGAGCCTTCCTCGACATTGAGAAACACCCGATGAAACACCCAGTTAGTCAGCTAATCACTATGATACTTTGATAATATCTTGACTTAATTATGTTTTAATCTGAGCATTATTGCTGCAGTAAAAAAGTAGTGCCAGTTGTTGTGTTAGTAATGTTTGGAACAGTGCTTGAAATATGAGAAACATTCCCACGTCTCTTAAACCCTCAACGTTTAAAAAAACATGTGTAACATCAAAACAAGGTGTTGGAAAGTGAAACTTCCACTGCGAGGACGATGTTCTCCCATCTGTCTCGTGTGAAGTTTGTTTTCCTCTGATGTTTCCGGGGGTTAAACTGCAGCGCTGCTTTTTGTCTCTCATCTCGGCCTGTTTTCGTCTTCCTCACTCCCGCTCTCCCAGGCTCACTGGAGGGTAGCGAGGGTAACTCAGCATAAGTGAAGCAGGACCAAAAACTCTGAAAAGCTTTTAAGTATAGGCGAGCAGACAATAATGAAGACGAGGCTATCTGGAGAGAAGGAGAGGGAAGGAATTTGTAAAGCCTCACTGCTTCCTTCTTAATGACTGACTCCTCTACAACCGTGTGTGTTGGGAGGGTCATTGAGGAAGAGGAGGAAGCAATCCCTGGGTGTGCAGAGCTTTCAGGCGCTGTGAGTGTGTGAGTGAGGAGACGGGAGCCGCGGTCGGTTGTGGCGTCACCTTTGGGAGCGGTCGGTGTAGCGAGGGGGGGAAAACGACGAGGGGATTGAGCGAGAGCACGGAGCAGAGTGGAGTGGCACAGTGTCGGTCTAATTGCCTGATTGTACTCAAGCCATTCTGCCGCTATGTGACTCTGATAGAAGTGTGTGTGTTAAAGGCCACTCGCCTTTAATTTCTGTACGAGGTGCAGAAGGAGCGAAACACGTTAGTTTACGACTGGCTAGTAATCGGACCTTATTGCTGCTCAGCCGGGAGGACACACTCACTCTGAGCAGCGTTAATGCATCTCACACACACTTTAACATACTTGAATATACACACGCAGTATATTGTGTGTATGCTTGCATGTCTACATCATAAGCAGTCATGCACCAGTTAAACGTTTGTAAGTCTGTCCGATTTCCCTCATATCTATATATATTTGTGTCATATTTCAGTATATATGCTAATATTAAGGTCCATTGCAGTGAAATTACTCATTTGTTTATCAGCACCATGGCCAACACACTCAGAATTGTTTTTTAAAGGAGCCATTAAAAGTTTATATTCTGTCAAAAATGTCTCACTGCTGTGGGGAATGAAGCTATGAAGCTTTCTTTTAAAATGTTGTTTAGACAAATTGAAGATGTGAAATATGACTGACTGATGAAGATGTTTAATCTGTGTCATATCGGTAAGGCAAAATAGAACTACATAATATAATATATCTACCAGAGAATACTTTCAAGGTTACTTTATAACTCGCCCGGTACATACTCTTGTAAAAGTAGTCTGTAGTTTGTTTAATATGAATATAGGATGATCTTTTGTTAGATGATATATTTTTGAAACCATCTTCCCGTTTCTCCTTCTCCTGCCTGCCTTTCATGTCTTTTACATCCTGTCTTTTGTAATTGGTCAAACTCTTAAAGCTGTTAGGCTCAACTTATACAATACTTTACCTATGAATAAATATACATTTCCACTGAGTACTAGATGTGGTCTTCAATGTGACTAAGTGAGGATAATTACGAAGCGTGCTGAACATTTGAATTCATAAAGAAACGAGTCGTTATTAAATCCATAATTAACCTTTTAATGTGAGTGAGGGTGAAGGCTGTGGGTATGAATGCGTGGGTTGGAGTTCATCTGTGTTTGTGTTCTAAATGTATGTGAAGAGCAAAGGTTTGAGAAGACCCCCCCCCTCATGTTAACTCTCTCTTTTGTCCCTCTTCTCTCTCTGTAGCGCAATAACGCTGTGGCAGAACAGACGGACACGCTCGTGGCCTACATATTTCGGAAGTCTCGCACCCCCGGACAGGTAAATCGCACTTTAAGATCCTTTCCTTCAAGATGCACACTTTAAAACCTTATGCAACACAAGGGGCATTTATAGCTTAAATATGAAGTCGTAAATGTGTATACAAAATACAGACACTCTGAACCTTAATGATGAGAATATCCCTTTTTAAAATAGCACATTTTTATCCCAGAGTATACAATCATGCACTGTTTTTTTTTAAGGTTTACAATTCTTATTGATGAATATTTGGTAGCAATGGCCATGCTCAATGTTGTTTATTCAATTTGTATATTAATTCTAGTTATAATTTTAACGTGTAGTATTTTTCAGGCAGTTTTAGAAAGCGGACATTTTTATCAGCGCAAGGGATGCACAGAATTCTTTAAGAGAAAATTATTTGTTTACTGTTCTTCATGACTCCTGGTTGTAACAAAATCATTGCAAAAGTTATTTTGTTTTTGATGTACATTTTTTTTTTTTGTGCACAGCTGGGCAAGATCGAGACCCTTCTGAGCCTGATCCCAGACTTCGCTGAGAAGGATGTGGTGAACAAGCATGTGATGAGATGTCATAGTAAGAGACACACACGCACACACACACACACACACACACGCACACACACACACACACACACAGGTCTGGATGGGTCTTGTGCAGCCGACGGCTCGCTGTAAGTCAACATTAGCGGACGCATTAACAATGCATCAGGTCCAGGAGTGTGTGTGTGTGTGTGGGGGGGGGGGGGGAGGCAGGCAGACATTCAGGGGTTACAGGAACACATGTCCTCTAATGAGTTAGCTGTCCTGGCTAGCCTAGCGTGCTAATCGCTACACAGTTCACCACTCAACTTTTTCTTCCCGCATTTTTCCCCTCCTCTCTGCATTGCCTCTTGCCCTCTCCACCTTTTTTTGTCCTCCCGTCGTCTCTCCTACCTACACCCCCGCCTCCTCCCCTTCACCTCCTCACCCTCCTGTCTCCCCTCTTTTGTACCAGAGCTGAGCGGACATGACTATTTAATTAGCATCAGCTAGCAGCTCGGTCAAGGCAGTCATGGGGGAAACAATTAGTGATGCTCTGCTCGCCTCTGGTCTCTGCCCCTCCATGGACTCCGTACATTTTCTCTTTGTGAGGTTTTTTCTTTTCTTTTGCCTTTTTAAACTTGCTCTTCTCTTTTTGACAGTAGTGACCATACTTTCCATTTTTATCTCTTTGATACACAACCGCACACACTCATGCTGTTTCACACTCGCATATGGAAATACACTTCCGGGTACATCTGCCTATAGAGGGAAATCGCATACACAGATCAATCATTCTGAAGTATTTAGATAGTTAACATTTTTTACAAAGTATGTTTTTTTTATCTTCAAAAAGACATATTATAATAATTATTATTATAAATTTCAGTGATTGGTCAACTTGGATATGTCCCACCAGTTAGCCTATCACATACAATCAGTTTGAGCCAACAGAAGCGCAAGTGTTACATAGTGATGTAACTTTGTTCCAACAGTAAACAACGCTGTCCAATGGAGGCGTTTCAGGCGGGGGGGGAGAAGAGTATGTGGGAGAGAAACTCACTCTGGAGGGAGCTTTGAGATGTTTGCCTTTGCAGACCATTTACATCCACACAAACCTATAACACACTACAGGAAAGGGGAAAACCTCAAGGAGCATAACAGGGCCCCTTTTAATGTACATTTTTAACGATGACTTTAACATGTTGACTTCCCCCCCACCCTCCTCAGTTAACGACAAAGACTTTTCGTCGGCCAAGGCCCTGTATGAAGAGTGGCAGAAGAGCGAAGGGGAGATAGACACGGTGTCACTCAAACGGCTGGCCGTGATGTACAGAAAGTTCGGAGAGACGGTGCCCTTCAACGAACCCCAGGTGAGTCTCACACACATATATATATATATACAACTAAATGTGATAGGGTCCTCTACTTAATACACTCAAACAGACCTCAACAATGTAACAGGTTAGCTCGACTCCCAAGACGAGCACACAAAATAATTATCCATCACAAAAGATTAAGAAAATTGGCAAATCCTCACTTTAAAAATGATTTAAACCATTAATGGATTATAAAAATGCTTGCAGATAATTTTTGTATCCATCAATTTAACGGTAAACCAACAGATTGTTGCAGATTAAGGTAAATTAAACCTCAAAAATAATATTCTCACATGTCTAGATTTAAGAAATGTCACAATATGGCTGTGTGTGTGGCTGTGTGTGTGGCTGTGTGTGTGTGTGGCTGTGTGTGTGGCTGTGGCTGTGTGTGTGGCTGTGTGTGTGTGTGTGGCTGTGTGTGTGGCTGTGTGTGTGGCTGTGTGTGTGGCTGTGTGTGGCTGTGTGTGTGTGTGTGTGTGTGGCTGAGAGTGTTTTTGAGCATTTCAGGACATTTTGTAACTTGATGTAGCCCTATTTTGGGCAGAGGACTCACACTCGTATCGACACACAGACACACACACACGGAGCCCTCTCAGCCCCAGCACTTTAATGCGCTGTCCCCTGGAGGCAGGTGAACACCAGAAGCCCACCTCTTACCTCCCCTTCACTCACCTGCAGTGCAAAGATAGACGAGAGAGGGATGAAGGCAGAGCAGCTGCTGCATTATTCACAGGATGTCAGGATACTTAAGTGATGGCTGCGTTTCATAAGCAGAGGGAAAGGTGAGGTCATGGTGAAGTTTCCCTGAACTCATCGCAGGTAGAAAGCCACCTGTTCTCTATATCTATATAAAGACTGCGGCACCATGACGACAACAGCAGGAACGTGCTAAGATCAAACACACCTAGATTTATTTCTAGAGGCGCATGGAACAGTTATTTAGGGTAGCTTTTTTTAAATAAAATAAAATGCTATTACATTTTTGGGATGGGAATCCAGGTCTCTAATAAGAGTCATGTAGATAAAGAATAATAAAACCAATGTTCAAAGTTGATTTATGTCACTGTACATCACTATGGGTTGTTATATAATTATGGTGTATAGCATGATATAAAAAATAACCATTTAATAAAGTCGCAGTATGGGATGTTGAATAACAAAAAACAATCCAAAGTATCAGACTATTTCTAAAAGTCATACACATGTTATTTGTTATTGCTCTGAGGACCAGAAATGAAACTATATATATATATCTCAAAACCTGAACACATGAAATAAAATCTAGTGAGATAATGTGTTTTTGTACTTTGGGTGAACTGACCCTTTTCCAACGCGTCTCATCATCCTGCAGGATCTCTGCCTCTCTTTGCTTCTACAGTGAACACAGCCATTTATCAGCATTAATTACTACATCAGTAAGCAAACGTACATTGTAAGAAGCCGGCGTAATCTACAGGAAAGCTCTCACCTTCTCCCCTCCAAAACACACTTTGTCTGGATCAAAACACTGATTAATTAGCGGGGAACAGAGGCCGAGAGCCAGAGAGTGCGTTAGGGGAACGCCAGACAAATCCCTCATTTGTGTATTAACGGGGATTTAAAGATGAAACAAGGAAACTTGGTTGCAGAGTAGAGACTATTTAGACAGACCCAGGAGGGCTTACTTCTGGTACGCGCACACACACACACTCTCTCTCTCTCTCTCTCTCTCTCTCTCTCTCTCCTCTCTCTCTCTCTCTCTCTCTCTCTCTCTCTCTCTCTCTCTCTCTCTCTCTCTCTCTCTCTCTCTGCTCTCTCTCTCTCTCTCTCCTCTCTCTCTCTCTCTCTCTCTCTCTCTTAAAACTATATAAAGACATTCCTGTTTGGGTAATCGGTGTGCTTGATTTTATTCCATTTTATACTAGGTTTTTATTTTGTTTGTTTTAAATTTCCTTTGTAAGTTCTGCTTTATTGTGTCTTAATTATGTTCTGGTGCTTTTATGACTTCTTAACATGTGGCTTGTGTGTAGGGCTGTGCAATTAATCGTTTTTTAATCGCAATTACGATTTTGGCCTGCCACAAAACAACATAATCGAAAAAAACAATTATTTAGCTTTGCTAGGTTGTGTCACTGCAACATATTGGATCTAATTAATTTTGGTCTCATTTATTTGTATTTATCATATTTATATATGTTTAGTAGCTTGTGGAAGTGCGCTCCAAAATATTTGTTGATCTTGTTTATTGGTATTTATTATTTTGATATTTATTTAAATGTGTCATTTATTTTATTTATTTTTGTATTGGTTTTTCAGTTGAATTATACGTTCAGGGTAATCAACAGTTAAAAAGATACTGTTCAAATTATTATTTGTATTGGTTTTAAAGTTCAATAAATGGATTTTTTCAAAGTCAATGAATAACCGTATTTAATAATCGTGATATAAATTATTGACCCAAATAATCGTGATTATGATTTTTGCCATAATCGCACAGCCCTACTTGTGTGTTCATTGATCATTGTCCTATGTTAATGTCTTATTGTTTTGTCAAGCACTTTGTGACTTTGTCTGTGAAAAGCGCTCTATAAATAAACTTTACACACACACACACACACACACACACACACCTGACTTCCTTTAGAGCATGTAAGCATTTTGTGTTTGTTTTATACTAAATTGTGTCTCTTTCTCTTTCTAGGAGTCCATTAGGTTTTATGAGCTGAAAGAGAAAGCCCAGAAGAAAGAGAAAGCCCAGAAGGAAGCAGAGACATAAAGACTCCTCCTCCTCCTCTTCCTCCTCCTCCTCCATCCATGTGTTTTCCTCTTCTTGTCTCTTTTTTATATAAGTTTTCCCAGCTGAAATGTTGAGTATTGTGTTGAAACTGTTAGACGCTGCCCGCTAATTTAATGATACTGTTGATGATGATGTTCAGAATGTAAAAGATAGTATTCATGATAATAAATGTCACATTCTGAGGCTGAGACTTTGTGGTGTGAACGTTTATTTTCGGGAAGATGTTGACATATTTCATTATAAAGTACAAGTGAAGCAATTACACTATCAAAGGCACCGGTCCATTGAGGTCTCCCAAAGACTCTGTCTACATGAGACACAGAACAACTCGACTAAAAGGCAGGAAGGTTATCAAAGACACCATGGCCTTTTCTGCTAAGACGACACCATTTCAGTGTCCCATTCTCAAAATATCCCTTACACTACAATATACTTTATCTTTATACTGTTTATCATCGTTATAATGTATATAAGAAATCCACATACATCAAACTGCATGTTTTCTGAGATGTAAGAGTTTTTTCTTCAATAGAAACATCTAAGCTTCTCATTATAGTGTTGCATGCATTTGATATTTCACATGACACAACATTTCTGGTGCTATAGGCCTATATAGGGTGTCCGCGGGGTCTTAAACCTATTAAAAGTTGATAAATCAATTTAGCGAAAATTAAGGCTGTTAAAAAGTATTAAACTGCATTTTCCAAGGTATTACATTTTGTAGCTTGTTTTCAATACGTATATCAATTGTCCAAAGAGGTTGTATTCTACAGTTTGCCTGAATGTAATCATTGCGTAGGAGTGTAGTGTGATTCTGTGTAGTTTATTTATGGCATCCCGTTGGATTTTACGTCATCTGAACAGGACATCGCACACGTCCACACAGCGGCGTTGCGTTTGCTCCATTTTTGTGTCTCTCCCAACATACACGCGGTTTGATTGGCTGACGCTTCCACCGAAGCTTCAGAAGCTTCAAAAGTTGAACATTGCTCAACTTTTGCAGCCTGAAACGCCAGCAAAGCTCCGCTCTGCTTCCCACAATGCAGTTCGGCGAAAAGTGAGGCTTAACCGGAAGATTTTTTTTTAACGCTGCTGTGTGGACGTACTAGCGCGCGAAGCTCCGCTTAGGCCGGTTGTTAAACAACATCGTTATGGGGAAATGCAAGTTTGCGTCCAAATGGTTGAAAGTTAACTTATAAGGAGGAAGGAAAATCAATACTGTGGTAAATGTGAGGTAAAGTGTGTCGCCAATGCATTGAAGTGGCGATGAGGTCTTAAAATGTATGGAAAGGGTCTTAAAATGTATTACATTTGACTTCAGGATTCCTGCATATACCCTGTATATAACCATATAGTGAACATAATCACACTGATACCATTTATTGTTGGGAAACCGCACCGCTTTAAATGAGTGCAAACTGAGCGACCAGGTCAAAGGATGGCAGAGAGATTGAAGACAGAAATAAACACGCTGGACTGGAGGCATTTGATTTAATAGTTTACTCATTCGGACTTGAACCCCGTCAGTCACATATTTATCAGGCTTTTGCACCAGTGCAAAGACACAGCTTACAATTACATAATCTTCAATCTTTGAGGACACAAGTACAAGCTCTTTTATTTCTGAGTGTGACTTACTAAATCTCTACGGCTTTTTTTTCTGTGCGCCCTATACTGGCACACACATTGTTAAGCTTAATAACCTTACATATACAAGAAAAGATAAAGCTGTAGGAAAAAAGAAGATTGAAAATGGAACAAGCAAAAGCTGCAGATGGATATCTGCCAAAGTGGCGCTCTAATCATCGGCCAAGATGGAGAAGAGAGGGAGGGAAAGAAAATCACTTCATTTAAACTGTTAGTGCAATGCTCTGCTGCCACCCAGCAGCAGACAGCAGTACTGCAGCGAGAAGAAATCTAGCACAACCAATCATTCCCAGACTTCAACTTTGAAAATGTGTTAATTGTTTTTGACTAGTCACACATTTGAGAAACAGTTTCACTTTTAGGATTTTTTAATACACCAAGAAGGGTGACTTTAAGGATTACTGAGGTGTCAGGGAAGTCATTTCATGTGTTTTTGATATTAAAACAAGTGCAGGAGTTTTTGATGTTGAGATTATTGTGAAAAGGGGAATTCAAATTCAAAACATACTCATATATTTACCTTTTCCCCCTTAAATTAAGCAAATGTCTGATAAAATGTCGAACCAGTCGAACAAGAACCTAAATGACTTCCCTCCACTCCTGCAGAACAAAACACTTCCTAAAGTCAAATGTGATTTGAAACAGCGTCTGGTCCAGATGTGTTCACCAGTCCTGACTGGACTTCTGTTTGATGAACTTCAGGGACACGTAGTAGAGCGCCATGAAGACCAGGCAGACGGCCAGCAGCACCAGGTAGCAGGCGTACAGAGGGTACTGGTTCATGTGCATGGCCTCCACCACCTGGCACACAGAGACACAGATGAGAAGACTGTCCATGTGCAGTGGTTTGGTTTTATAGCTGTGTTCATTTACACATGTACAGTTATTGCCTAATACATATATTTATAATGACAGATACAACACTCTTTTCTTGTGACTTGTTATGCCTTACATTGACATTTCTATGACATTATTTATGGCATACTTTTCTATGACTTTTTTATTTCATAAAACACTGATATTTTATATTTACATACAATGCTATTACAATTTCTTTCATACACAATACTTTTTTGACTTGTTTTGTACTATTAGTGTTTAATTGCATACTATTCTAGGACTTTTTTTAAACATACTTTGACCTTTTTATGACTTTAAATACTATTGACATTATTATGACATTGTTATGACATATTTAGGAAATACTATACTATGACGTGGAAGTGTTTAATTGAGGTGTGTGTGTGTGTGTGTGTGTGTGTGTGTGTGTGTTTCTGACTCACGTGTATGCCGTCCACATTGAAGGTGAAGTTCCTGATGGAGACGGGGTACATGTTGCCTCTGAACTGAACCTGCAGCAGCCCGTCGAACCCCCAACGCATGAAGGAGGTGTGGGAGACCCACGAGGCCACTGGGGGGGGGATGTATTTATTTCATCACTTCTGTTTTCAATGCAGCTCTTTATACTCACACATTTCAAACTAGGAATAATAAACTTTCATTTCATTATCTTATTAATTCATTTACTTTCATGTATTTATTTATCATATATATATTTAACATTTCAACTTCTTTCTAATATTCATTGTATTTTGTTTTGAATATTACTAATATATATTACCTTTTATTTTTATTTATATCTCTTAATTTATAATAATAATAATACATATCTTATATCAAATATATAATATAGTAAAAATATAATATACGTTTTTTACTTAATATTATGTATATTTATACTATCTCTCTATTACTGCATATAAAGAGGCATTCATCTATGTACATCTATGTTATCTGCTTATGTGTGTATGACCTGGAAATGAAGTGAAAAAATGTAAACTAAGTGACAGTGACTCCATCTCCTCACCCTGCCACATGTTCTCCATGCTGATGACGAAGCCTCCGGTCAGGTAGAAGATGGTGAAGAAGGAGTTCCCCGCGAAGGAGGAGGTCTGCAGGGTGGGCAGCGCGGCGGCCACGAACAGAGCCATGGCGCGGCTGCAGTACACCATCAGCCACACTAGCATGAAGTTGAGCAGGAAGCGCTCCGGCTCTGTGTTCAGCCCGGCCAGCCAATAGATGGGCAGGCCGTACACTAGCGTGAACACACAGTGCTCCGGCAGCTCCCCCAGCACCTGAGGGGACACACACACACACACATGTTCAGATATACAGTTAAGACATCAAAACACACACATTGTCAAGCACTGAACCTGGGGGGACAGAGCCTTCTCTGTCGCTGCCCCCTCCCTCAGGAACTCACTCCCACAACCCATCAGAGACTGCACCGACCTCACCACCTTCAAAACACTCACAAAAACTCACCAACTCTTACTACTTTAAATCCAGACTAAAAATGTATCTTTTTGTCGCTGCATTTGAGTGAGCTGTTTATATCCACACTGCAGTATGGCTTTTATTGGTGTGTTCTATACCTGTTGTGTTTATTTGATTAGCTTTTTAATGCCTATTTTGAAATGCCATTTTATAATGTGTTTTGCTGTATTTATTCTTAAATGTCTTTTATTTTAATTTGTAAAGCACTTTGAATTGCCGTGTGCTGAAAGGTGCTGTATAAATAAACTTGCCTTGCCTCACCTCTTCAATCTGGCTTTTAATGTGTGATTGTTGTTGTATTGCTTGATTTTAATGTGACTTTAACTATATTTATTTGTTGTTCTTTTTCTCTGTAAAGCGACTTTGAGCACCTGTAAAAGTGCTTACAAAATAAATCTATTATTAATCTATTACATTGTTCATGACAAGACAAGATAAGATAAGATAGGACTTTATTTATCCCGAAGGAAATTGTTGTGCCAGAGTTAGAAAAATACAATAAACACAGCAGCTGTACACTAAAAGTGCAGTAAAAAGACAAATTAAATATCTATAGGAAACATAAAACAACTGGTGTGTTTGCATGCTTTCTACTCCACATTACAGTACTGGATTTACACTACAGTGAGGCTCCTGTGTAGAGCGAGACTGACCCCTACTGGACATCTGAGGGGGGAGAGTACTCAGATCTTGTACTTAAAGGTAGGGTAGGTAATTTTGGAGAAACCAGCTCGAGTGCACTAGAATTTGAAAATACACAGCCGGAAAAAATCTGCCACTTCCTTACAGAGCCCCTCCTCCAACACACACGAACGCGCACATGACCAATGAGGGCACGAGATAAGTTTGTGCACAGATGGAAGGCTGACAGGCAGGTAGGCCATCCAGTTACTTTAGCCGGGCCGGCTAAAATGATTGGTCGTGCTTTTTACAGCACAAAAAGTGCTTTTTACGTGCTTCCACAGATGACATTTTTTTATGGATTTTTTGTCAAAGCACTTAAAGGGGACCTATCATGCAAAATGCACTTTTGTACGTCTTTTATACATGAATATGTGTCCCCGGTGTTCCAGGGAACTCACCAAGTGTCAGAAAACACAACCCTCTCTATTTTCCTCCATACCCAAATCTCTAAAAAAGGGGCTGCAACGGATCTGATCAAAACTGATCCAGATTTGAACACTGTCCTGACGTTAGGACAGTGGCGCTACGGCTATTGGGCCAACTCCACCAATCAGGAGGAGACAGCCACGGCCATTGCCGTTCGAAAGCGCTGGAGACGCTGTAGTACATATGCCAGGCCTGTAGATGGTGCTGTTCTCACTGAATCAGCCCTTGCAAATCCAGAGCTAAAAAATGTCAAATAGAGCGAAATGAGGCATGGCTAAAATGCATGATCTGTTTGGTATTTTGAAAAAAAAAAAGTATAAATATGCCTTATATAGGTATGGTCCTACACTATATTATTCAAATATAGCATGATAGGTCCACTTTAAGATATTCATTGCTATCGGGATGTTAAGAAGATTCCATGGAATATAACAAAAAGTGTATCTCGAGCCGGTTTCTCAAACTTACCTACCCCACCTTTAAGTATAAGTACAAGTACCAGAGTGTAGGAATACTCAGTTACAAGTAAAAGTCATACAATCAAAAATGATTAGCATCAAAATATACTTAAAGTACCAAAAGTAAAAGTACTCATTCTGCAGATCGGTCCATTTCAGAATAATATATATCATTATTGATCATTAAAGTGTATCAAAGCTGGTAGAGGTGCAGCTAGTTTGAATGACTTTGTATTCTGCAGGGTAGCTGTTGAATTCACGAACTAAAGTCTGATTTAAGTGGTGATTATATTTCACATCATTAATCCAATTGTGCAAAGTAACTAAAGGTATTAAATACATTTTGTGGAGTAAAAGTACACCATTTAACTGTGATTTGTAGTGGGGTAGAAGTACAAAGTAGCAATAAAGGTAAATACTGAAGTAATGATGATAGTCCCTTGAATGTGTTCTTCCGTACAGTACTTGAGTAAATCAAATCTACTCAGTTACCCCCCTGGTTTACCTTGGCAAAGAAGTAGGAGGTGACGGAGTACATGCCGTCCTCCAGCTCGTGGTACAGCATGGCCCTCTCTGAGTGACCTGCAGGGAACAGGAAGTGAGTCTGAGGAGGAGCACGCTATGACCTCTGGCTTGATGCTCTCACACCCTGACCTGGAACAAGCTATTCAAGTACTTATTTTCTCTAGACTTGACTCTTCTAACTCCACTTCCTAATAGCATCAACCAAAAGTCTCTCTCCCACCTTCAATAGTTCACAAAGCAGCAGCTAGCCCATGTTCTGCTTCTCTTAAGTTTTGATCAACATACAGCCGTTTATGTCTGGCCCAACCTCTTACTGAACCTTCATATAAAAGACATTTTCTATAGACTTGCTTTAGAGTTACAGAGGCTCTCCAGCTACATGAATGTCATATTTGTATTAGGATATAGTGTGGGTTAAAAGGTTTTTCAGAGATGTTCTATATTTATTAGGTCTCTGTATGATATGTGGGCAGTATAACACTATTCCTCTTTGTGCTACAGTGAACTTCATTTCATTTTATAGCTTTTATAGCTTGAAGTACTTTGGTCAGTTCCAAGAATGCAGATGCAGCGATCACAACTTCACTTAACTTAATATGGAAACATTTATTTTTGTTTTGTGTGCTATTTGTTGGTTTGTTTGTAGACATTAAAATATACGACATTTGCTATTTTCAAAAGTCAAACACTGTTTTGATGTTTGTTTCACCTATTCTTAAAAACCTGACAAATTTGCAGACTGATTTTTTAAATACTCACATTTGGCGATGACGTCCAGCACCACAGCGAATGGGGTGAGCGCTCCGATCATGTAGAGCAGGGCCACCGTGTCCTGGATGGAGAGACGCTCCTCTCCCGCCCCGTAGTACAGACACCCGACCAGCAGGGACATGAGCAGCGCCTCGAAGCCGTGGACCAATAGGGTGGCCAGGTCTCTGTAGTCATTGTACATGTGACGCCTGAGGGGGGAGACACGAGAGGAGGGCAATGAACACAACAAACTGATTAGAACGTGTTGTGAGGGACATCTTTGGAATATATATTGTTGCAATAACCAATAAACTAACAGCTGAGTGCACAGTTTACCAGCTGAGTCCGGAAGTTGAAAGTAATAGCTAAAAGTTACAGATTTTTAAACAGACATTTGTTTGAACAATTTGTATAAATTGCAGTAAATGTGTGCAGTGTTCAAAACATACATTTCTTTAAATGTCACACAACTCAGTGCAGTATCAAATATAATCCAAGGGTTATTTATCCAATTGTATAATCACTGCTTCCCAAACAAAGATGTGAGAGAAACAGATGTGTTCATATACTATTTTAAAGCAGCCCCCATTAACTTTAATTCATCTCTGTTCACTGCGGAGGAAGCAAGAAACACCGATTTTTCTTTAAGATTTCAAGTTAAGACTGGAAGAGTAATACATACACACAAGGTCAGTATGTGGGTAGAGTATTCATTTAACATCTGTTCAAATCAGCACTTTTAAAATGACATGTAACATGTAACACATCTGTGAGAGTTGGTCTGACCTGATGAGGATGGTAAATTGGTGAACCCGGCCAGGCAGTCTTTTCTTTTGTTTAGCGATGGTGATAACTTCCTCTCCGTTTTCTTTGCTCAGCTGCTGAGGGCTGCAGACAGGACAAGATACATTCAGTGGAAACAAGAGAAAGGATGGGGAATATACGTGAAAGTATGATGAGAGAAAAGTTTAAAAGAAAGATGGCAAATGTAAATAAACCTTTTAGTTTGTGTGGGTGTTGTGTTGGCGCCATCTGATTTCCACATGTGATCCTCGGTGTCTCGGACCTTATCCATGAAACGCTCCGCCAGAACCGTGGAGCGCTCCAAACCCTCGGCCTCTCGCTCGGGGCTGCGCCGGTCGATACTGATCAGATCAACTGGACATAACGAGCACAACAACAACATTATTAGGCTTGTAAAAAGAACATGGTTTTGTGCATCAGTGTTTCATGTGCTTGAGCAAAAGTTGTCTAAGCTGGCACTGAGTGTGGGCCCAATTACAACTTTAAAGGTCCCCTTTTATACTGTGTTTCATCAATTTATTATAGGTCTCAGATATATACAAAACATGTCTCTGAAGTGTTTGGCTCCCAATACCAAACAGATCATTGCAGCATTACCCATAATCCCCTCTGTTTCAGCCCTGTTTCAAAAGTGCTGATTCTCTGTCTGTTACTTTAGATGAAAATAAGGAGCCCCTCCCCACGCCCCTCTGAGAG